TTACATATATATATTCTTAATATCCACGATTTCTTGTTCAAACAGTTAACACTTTTCTAATTTCATAGAACAACCATTTACAAGCAAGCAACACACAACTGGACTTTTCTCTGGGAGATATTGTTTGGAGAATACTTGTTTTATCAGAACATTGGCCATTTCAAATTGTATGAAGGATAGAACACTAGCCAGAATGTTCCTGAATATTAAATATAACCACTGTACTATAAACCTAAGAATATTCTTTTCTTTCTAATAAAAACAAAATAAACCAATAATTATTATAAATAAATTAAAGATCGGAGAAGTGTATGGAAGCAAACAGTATAAGAAGAAGTCTCTAAGATTGGATAAAATAAATTCAAATACAACAAAACCCTGTAAAAACTGGCATATCCATAAATTAAACAATGTAAAAACTGGCATATCCGTATAATCGATCTTTCATTTATCGTTCTTTTAATCGGAAAGCGGTAGGATATATTACAACAAAACGTAATTCTGAGTTGCCGTTTTAGTGCATGTGGTAAAAACCCATATACAGAAAATGCAAACACATCCTACTATCCTGCTGTTCTGACCTTTTCCTATGTTCGAAAGTTGGTCTTACCACCTATGAGTAAGCCAGCTTCATACACTTGTAAAAACTATCTGATCACATCGTAAAACCTGGTCTTTTCACATAATTAATTACAGTTTTACACATAAGAAAACCGCACCTCTTTTCCAGTGTATATACCCAATTGACTGTCATTAGTTTATATATATAGCAGATGAGCTGTCAATAGTTTGTATATATATTGGATTGGCAATTATTGACTTATATATATATCAGATCAGTAATCATTGGCTTATATATATACCAGATTGGCAATCATTGACTTATATATATATACTAGATCACCAATTATTGGCTTATATATATACCAGATCGCCGATTATTGGCTTATATATATACCAGATAACCAATCATTGACTTATATATATACCAGATCATTAATCATTGGCTTATATATATACCAGATTAGCAATCATTGACTTATATATATATACTAGATCACCAATTATTGGCTTATATATATACTGGATCACCAATTATTGGCTTATATATATATCAGATTGCCGATCATTGGCTTATATATATACCTGATCGCCGATCATTAGCTTATATATATACCAGATCGGCAATCATTGACTTATATATATATACTAGATCACCAATTGTTGGCTTATATATATACCAGATCACTAATCATTGCCTTATATATATACCAGATCGCCGATCATTGACTTATATATATACCAGATAACTAATCATTGACTTATATATATACCACATTGCCAATCATTAGCTTATATATATATACTAGATCACCAATTATTAGCTTATATATATATACTAGATCACCAGTTATTAGCTTATATATATACCAGATCGCTAATCATTGACATATATATATCAGATTGCCGATCATTAGCTTATATATATACTAGATTGGCAATCATTGACTTATATATATATACTAGATCACCAATTATTGGCTTATATATATACCAGATCGCCAATCATTGGCTTATATATATACCAGATTGGCAATCATTGACTTATATATATATCAGATTGGCTATCATTTACTTATATATGTATGAGATTGGCGGTCAATAGCTTATATATATATATCAAATTGGTGGCTATCAGCTTATATATATAGTAGATCAGCTATCATCCCCTTATATATATAGTAGATTGGTGGTCAATAGCTTACATATTTATATCAAATATGTGGTTATCAGCTTATATATATAGTAGATCAGCTATTATCCACTTATATATATGCTAGATTAGTGGTCAACAGCTTATATATATATCAAATTGGTAGTTATTTGCATATATTTATACTGGATCAGCTGTCAAATACTTATATATATGCCAGATTGGCGGTCAACAGCTTATATATATATATCAAATTGGTGGCTATCAGCTTATATATATAGTAGATCAGCTATCATCCCCTTATATATATAGTAGATTGGTGGTCAATAGCTTACATATTTATATCAAATATGTGGTTATCAGCTTATATATATAGTAGATCAGCTATTATCCACTTATATATATGCTAGATTAGTGGTCAACAGCTTATATATATATCAAATTGGTAGTTATTTGCATATATTTATACTGGATCAGCTGTCAAATACTTATATATATGCCAGATTGGCGGTCAACAGCTTATATATATATATCAAATTGGTGGCTATCAGCTTATATATATAGTAGATCAGCTATCATCCCCTTATATATATAGTAGATTGGTGGTCAATAGCTTACATATTTATATCAAATATGTGGTTATCAGCTTATATATATAGTAGATCAGCTATTATCCACTTATATATATGCTAAATTGGTGGTTAACAGCTTATATATATATCAAATTGGTAGTTATTTGCATATATTTATACTGGATCAGCTGTCAAATACTTATATATATGCCAGATTGGCGGTCAACAGCTTATATATATATATCAAATTAGTAGTTATCAGCTTATATTTATACTAGATCAGCTGTCAAATACTTATATATATGCAAGATTGGCGGTCAACAGCTTATATATATATGAGATCAGCTATAATTAGCTTATATATAGTGTTAATTGATTGTTATCAGCTTATATAATGTTGCATAATGTTGCATAATGTTGCATAATCTTACATAATTATATATAGACATATATAAGAGAATTTGAATATATGTAAAATATAAAAAAATAAAGTTTGTGTAACATAAGTCATTATGCATATTAGCGTAACGTAAACAATACAAATATATTACTGAAAAAATTTGATAAAATTTGGCTATACTTGTTATATAACGTGCATAATTATGCATAATCTCGCATAAATGATCTACGTAAACAATAAGATTGAATTCGTGGGAAAAAATGACAAAGAATAGCTTTTTTTGCAAAAAATTTCCTTTTTTGGTTAGTCTGAATGCATTTAGTGTGAGAAGTCTTGGCATTTTTAGTGTGGGACAGCATGTTATATAAATAGCAAGGTTATAAAAGCTTGGCATGGAAAAATATTGAACCTTAAACTGGCAAAAAGCCGTTCCGACAATAAATAAAATATGTCTGCCTTAATAAAAGTTCAAATTCTTACTAAGTAATAATTTTTTAAAAAATTTTGTCATATAAAGCAAATTTAGTCACATTATATAGAAGTATCAAAATATGTAAAGAGCAGTTACAGAATAAATAAAAATTAATTTTTATATTTTTTTATCAATTTTTCATATAAAAATCAAATTATTATTATATATTCATAAAAAATATATATTAACAAGTCAACTAAGTTATACTTATTATATTTTATATATATTTATGTATTATATATAATGATATATACACAATTATAAAGGAGATGAGAATATATAATTATTTTAAGATTAAGTATGATTAGAGTATTTAAGTTATATTTCTTGATATTATTAGATATAAATAGTATATTATTAAATATGAATTTGGTATAGATAAGTGTGAATTAATATGCTATGATAATAATATGTATAAGTTAGAGGATATTAAATGTTATGAATATATATAAGTTATAAATTAAATACTATTGGCTAATATTAGTGAGAGATCAAATGTTATTGGCTAATATTAGTGAGAGATTAAATACTATTGGCTAATATTGATGAGAAATCAAATATTATTAGTTAATATAAATATTATATTAATTATAATTAATTTATATATAAAATAGATCAGCTTTTATTAACTTATATAAGTAGCAGATTAGCCACTATTGATTTATATATAGGCTGGATCAGTTATTATCAGTTTATATATATATTGGATATACAATCATTGATTTACATATAGATCTGATTATTAATAATTAGTTTACATATAAACCAGATCAGTAGTTATTAGCTTATATATATATGAGATCAGCTGTCATCCACTTATATATGTATGAGATTGACTATCAATAGTTTATATATATATGAGATTGACTATTATCAGCTTATATATATATGAGATTGGCTGTTATCAGCTGATATATATAACAGATCAGCTGTCATTGGCTTATATTTATATTGGATTAACAATTATTGACTTATATATATACAAGATTGACTGTTATTAGTTTATATATATAGCAGATGAGCTGTCAACATTGCAAAAGGAGGGTGGATTCGGTCGAATTTTATTTTTTGAATTTTGGCAAAATTTGGAAAAATATGTCAAACACCATCGTTTTTCAATATATTTTTTTTTTGAGATGGGAATTCGCAATTTTTTCTGATTATATTAAATAAACACAGATACAAACACAAATATTTATTAATTAGGCAATAAATCGCACAATTGTCTTAAAAAATATATGTTTCGATTGACTTGGCAGAAAAATAAAATATAAAAATAAAATATTAAATGTTAAATGTAGTATTTAATTATTTTTCTGGAAGGAAAAACTTGCTGTTACAGATGCACCTAATTTAGACTCAATAATATTTTTATTGCATTGCAAAAAATACCGATTTTTATTAGAATATAATAATGTATGATATATGACTTATTTTTAATAAGAAAGTATATCAAAAAAATTGAAAAAAAGAGCAAGAATTGATGTCATAAAAAATACAAGAAAAAGAAAATCCAAAAAAGGCCACTTTCCAAAATGAGCAAGAATTGATGTCATGTTAAAAAAACGCGAAAGAGAAAAACTACGCCATTATATCAGTGATTATTAAATTGAAGCCCCATTAATAATCAGGCACACTTTTTTTAAGAAAAGATTGCTATATCAAAATTCATTTGTAATTCTTACTAATAGGGACGGTAAGCTCAATGTAGTCAATGACATAGTGAACAAGATTTATTAACTCATTATTAATGACAAAAATAAGAGACATATAAAAGATGAAAATAAAATATAGTATACACCTCTTTATTATTTTACTATTATTAATATTATTCTTACTGTTATGAATTCTACAACTAAAACCTACACTGTTATGTGTACATGTTCATCATGTACCAAAAATGCAATTGGCAGAATTTTGCAAAATGCACAGACCTTTAAGCGTCATAATAATGCTGATAAGTTATTAGACATTGGCCCAAAAAATCGAGGTAAATGACATTTGAGTAGTACGCGCATTACTGGATAAATTGTAATCTAATATTTTTTTTTGTTAATTATCAGTTAATACAGAAGTTGTCGAAGAAGAGACAGACATTGAGATGATAGATGTATCTGAAACATCGATTGATTGTGAGTATAAAATTTCTTTTTAATAAATCATAATTTAGATAGCTAATAGTCTGTTTTTACTATAGATGAAGACAATTATTCTATTGCATCAGCCAAAACTACCCTACAGAGTGTACCTTTTTTGAGAGAAGATGAGATTTTTCAATTCGAAGAGTCTGATGTCGAGACAACATCATTGGCTTCTGACAATGACGATTCTGATTCAAGCGATGAGTCTGAAGATGAAAACGAAGTTGAGGTTGCCAGTGTTGAAGATTTTGAAGACATGGTTGCTTCCGGTATACATACATTTAAAAAAGAAATATACATAAATTGTGTTACAAATAATTAACAGAAATACTTACCTTTGTAGTTGCTTCTTTGAAAATTCATGAAATGTCTCAAACAAGTCAATTCATGGCTCTATTTGGCGTTATCTTTCAGACGTTTTACTTGGTTCAAGCAGGTGGAACTGCTATGTTGAAATTCTTCCGCCATCTTCTTGTTGCATTTGATAAGGATACCGATCTCCCACTCACCATTGATGCATTAAAGACTATGACCAGCTTCAATTTCATGACAAAAAGCATCCTCAAATACACTGTCTGCAACAAGTGCTTTACAATTTACCTACCAGGCAATCACCAACCAAATTGCACATTCGAAAAATACACAACCACACCACCAACATATTGCGGAAATCCTCTTTTCTCTGACACCAAAGCTGATCGCACCATTCCTCTCATGGTTTTCCCATACAACTCGCTCAAGAATGCATTGGCACAGCATTTTGCCAAACTTGGGTTCGAGCATCAAATTGTTCAATGGAGATCAAGGGAAACCGTAAACAGTACCTTGTTGGACGTCTATGATGGTGCAATGTGGACTGAGCTCCTTGATGAAGATGACGAGCCTTTTGTGAATCACAACCATTCTTTGATCTTGACATTGAATGTGGATTGGTTTCAACTGTTCGAGGGTTGTACACATCCAAGTGGGGCCTTGTACCTGTCAATGAACAACCTGCCTAGGGAAGAAAGAATGAAGCCAGAAAACATTATCCTTGCCAGTGTCATGCCTGGTCCAAAGGAAGCGAAGATCGACCAGATGAACAACTTCTTGGAACCTCTGGTAGATGAGCTGGTAGAGTTATATGGCGGCATAACTATGAAAACTCCAGAGTTCCCCAATGGTACTAGTATCCGCGCTGCTCTTATGTGTGTTGCTTGCGACATACCTGCTGCAAGAAAGACTGCTGGATTTACAGGATTTGCAAGTACAAACGCCTGTCACATATGCAAGCATCATTTCACTGTTGTTGCTGGAGCAAGTAAGATCAATTATTCTGGATTCGATCATGAGAACTGGGTCTCCCAAACAAAAGAGGAAAATGCAACCAAAGCTGAGATGTGGTTCTGTGCAGAATCTGATGCAGAGAGAGCTGTTTTGGAGAAGCAGCATGGCACCTGTTTTTCCAAGTTGCATTGCCTACACTACTTTGATCCTGTCCAATGCGCGATTGTTGATCCCATGCACAATTTGTTTCTTGGGACAGCAAAGCATATGATCAGTGTTTGGAAAGACCTGAGGTATCTCCCAATTGCTGTTCTCGTCCGTATGCAACGTCTTGCTGATGGTATTCTTGTTCCTCCTGGGTATGCCGTTTTATCAACAAAGATCGAATCTGGTTTCCTGTATATGAAGGCAGATGAGTGGCAATCATGATGTCTGATTTATTCGCTGGTGGTACTAAAAGACGCTTTGCCTGAAGACGACTACAAAAACTGGACTCTCTTTGTAAAAGCATGCCAAAAGTTGACCAGTCCTTCAGTCACATATTCAGAAATTGACAGCGCACACCAGCTCCTTGGAGAATTCGGAAAAGAGTGTGAGACTCTTTATGGAGAGAGCAGCATCACGCCAAATATGCACTTGCATATGCACTTGCATGAGTCAATGCTTAGCTTTGGTCCAGTATACGCATTCTGGCTGTATAGCTTCGAAAGATACAATGGCAAGTTGAAGAACATCAAGACAAACCGTCACAATGGTCTTGAGGTCACCTTCATGAGAGTCTTTCTGGAGAAAGCACTCATTGGTAGCTTTCTTTGAGCGTATTCTACCAATCTTTCATCACCACTGATAGAGTTCCTTGAGGGGGTTGCCCAAGTAAAATCAAATTTGGACAGCTCTTCTCCCTTGAATTTGGATGCTGGCCACCCTCCTGCGTTACTATTTAGCTTAGCAATATTCCAGCAAGCTGCTACCAATCCATGGTACAATGTCACCGGAAGTGAGGCCTTGCCCCCAACCACATTGCCAATCAAGTTGCAGCCTTTGACTATGATGAAGAATGATCACTATCAGTGGTTATTTGAATTCTATGTCAAGGCTTACCAGAGTACAAGTGTTTCCTTCTGTGTGGTAGGGAGAATCCCAATTGGTGAGGATGTATTTGTGAACAATCGGATTCAAAAGGTGAAGAAGATTTCGTTGCTGGGGCAAGAGTACTGCAGTGGTGAAAAGAAGAAGCGCGGGTCTTTTGTGAGGGTATTGTTTCTTGAGAGAACAAATGACAATGTATCTGAATTCCCTGGTCAAATAGAGTATTTATTTACTCATACCATCAAGATCAGTGGAGTCAAAAGAGTGTCAATGTTCGCATTCATTAAATGGTTTCCCACCTACCATTCAAGTAGTTATCAGCCATTAGCTGATCAAGGTCTGCAGTTGTGGGACAAGGGATTTATGGAAGAAGATGCTTCGTGCATTGTTCCGGTGCATCGTCTGCATTTGTGCTTTGCGTTGACTACGCATAAAATGCAGAGTGGGACGCAAAAGCACCTGGTTATTCCACTGCCTAGAAAAGTAGTCACATAAAAAACAAAAAAATAACAACTATTTAGGTTACCAGTATAAATAATTATAATACGAGTTTTTTTGACTGTAAAAAGGTTTAGCTTTATTTATCTCTGTATTCTTATTTAGTTTTAACAATACTTCTTTATTAAGTATTTAAAAGAGCAATAGTAAATTATATTACCAGTTTTTTTAACTATTAACGAATAGTAAAAACCATTATTTATTTCTCTTGCTTTTATCAATAATATAAAAGACAAAAAAACTTGTATATTTAATACCCGACATTTACTATTTTCTTAGCCTTTATTACATATTCTTGCTAATATCGGTATTATAATTTCCAATAAAAAAAAACGAGGATAAAACAATCAGGGTTATATAATTAAATAATTGCTTTGTATATATATTTTTTTTATTAATTGGCTTTAAAATAAAATAAAATAAAATAAAATAATAATTTATTATTTTGATTTTTGATTTTGTCTTTTTCTTTTTCCTTTTATTTATATATTAATTGCTTCTTATCTTGACAATACCGCCTGATTATATTTTACCACTTCACCCCACATCATTCAACACAATCAATAAAAATTATTAAAGTACTATATGCACTTTGTAAACAAAATAATGATTTATTGTTGGCATATGTGAATCCAAGCAGCAACACGTGCCTTTTTCTCATTCGACAACTCAGTGTTTCTCAAAATAATTGGATAGACAGAATTGCCAATGATGTCTGGTCCCTTGTTAGCAAGTCTCTGTTTCTTCAAAACAGTAAAGTATTCATCCACCTGCATTATAATATAAATACTTTTGAGTTAGAAGTATTAAAAAAATAACTTTTATCATGAGAGCCTTACCAAGGGATGTCTACTTCTAGGAGTATATCTAGTTTTATTTTTCTCCTCATCTGACTCAATATCAGACAACATGTCATAGTCCAGAAGGTCAATGACAGTCTCACCAAACTTAGACTCAAGGTTTGCCTTGTCAGCTAAGTGAATTGCCTTGTAGTCTGCAAGAATCTGAAAAAAAAAGTTAAAATAGTTTACACAAAAACTGTTGACTATACTTACGTTTCTCTTTCTGGACCAGCATCGAGAAATCCAATTTTGTTGAGCTATCTTTTCTGGCAAAGCTTTTGCCCTTTGAAGCATATACGAAATATGTCTTTGGGTTTTCTCTTCCACAACTGCAGACGAAACAGACTTTACTTCAGCTTGCTGATGTGTGTAGCTCTGCACTACATCAGCAATGGGTCGGTTGGATGTCGAGAAGGTGCCCTCATTGACCGTCAATGGCATTGTTGCCAGAACTGCTCGTGTTTGAGAACGGATCAATCTCTGCAAAATATAATATAAGTAACTTTGCAATATTCTATTACTAGTATATATCCTACTGAAACCGTTGGAAGGCGGTACTTTATATATTCTCCTGTAGTAAGAGCCTGACCAATGGGACTATGGTTCGAATTGTTATTCTGGCCATTGGTTGCTCCCATGTTGTAGTAGACCTTCTCCAGAAGTGAATGAGATTCATTCAGTCGGGTGCTCATGGTGAACAAAGTAGACAGGACAGTACCATCTAGCTCTGCACTAACTGTCAAGCTGGGAAGAATTTCCCGTTGTCTTGCGCTTGCTGCTGTTCCAGCGGTTTGTTGAACAGACTTTTTTGTAGTTGTCTTTTTCGTTTTTTTGGATTGCTGCGTATTAGAAGACATGAATTGAGATATTTAAGGCTAATGAAAGAAATGGAAACAATGTGAATACTTTAATAATTAGAGTTGGGTTTCTTTAAAATAATAAAATAAATCAAAACATATGTAAAGGTGGAAAGTAAGGCACCAAAAGATTATTTTTCTGATGATGCTCTTTATAGCATTTTGATCTCTATATTATACTTTTCTTTATAAGCCGACTTGGAAAGGCATTTATAATAGCTTACATTCATTACAAAGATGTGAGAGATTATGGTTTAGTACGTAATGTCTTGTCTCAATCGGAATGGGTTGAATGACTTTCAATTTGCTCTATTGATTCTATCAGTTTCTCAGGGTCAACGGTCATAAAATTATAATTTTGAATTTCCCCCGTTTTTTTTTAATTTTTCTTTCTTCTTCTTTACTTCTTTCTTAATGTCTAACATGGTAAGCATCAACTCACATCAAAGTTTCAAGACCTAATCATCTTGTTGTTTTTATTCTAGCATGATACACTATGCTTTAAACCACCAAGTCCTTCTTAACTGCCTCAAAAGTAATAATAAAAAAGTAATAAAAATATACTTGAATATTTATTCATGATTTATATATTAATTATTCTGCTTAGATTTTTCTGGTCCATTAACAAAGACATATACCTTGGAAGGGTTTACAAAATGGTATGTTGTATAAATATTAACGTACACCTTCAAGATACAACTTGTATTTATTATTTTTCTTATGTATACCATACACTTTATAGTCACTGGTCTTTATCTTGGTCCTCTTTTTTTGATTATACACTGACTCTTATTCTCTACAGACAGACAAGTAAGTAAATAATCATTCTACTTCTTTGTATGTAATTCTAATGAAAAGAAATTATTTTATAGATAATATCTCTATTTCCCGCATGCTGCCTCTTCTATTGTATTGAATAATTGGTAAGCAAAAAAGAGTCTGATACTCTTTATTTCATTCTAATAAAAGATTATATTTTATAGACAATGTCATTGTATTTTGTGTTTGTCAACTCTTCTGTTTTCTGAACTGTCTGGTAAGCAAACCATAGTCTTATTTACTTTGCATTGTATTAACAAAAGTTATTATTTTTATAGACAATATTACTATAATTGAGACATTGAACTAAAACGTTGATATATCTATCTTTATGTTAAAGACATCCATCTGTTCTCGTGTTTAACTTTATTGTAAGTACATTCATATTTTTTAAATAATCTGTTGCTCTCAAATAAATATACCTAGAACATTCTTTCTAATCCACCCTATAATTATTTTTTATAAAAGTAAACAAACAGGCCAAGAAGGCGTGCTGCAGCAAGCAATGGAATACAGTAGGGTCGATTGCACCAGGGGTGGACCAATGGATGTTCGAAAGGAATAACATAGTATCCACTAAAATAAATGATGGCATCGAGTGTGATGTTTCTACCCAATTGCAACAGAAGATGATTAGTGATGTAGACGAATAGAAATAGCTAGAAACAATAAGAAAATTTTTTCAAACCAATAAAAACCTTTAAAATGACCCATAAACCTCTAAATCTTGACTAAATCTTGACCAAATCTTGACCAAATCTCTTCTTTAACAACCCATATATAGTAATAAAAAGATGTTGAATGTTATGTGCTGTATTTAAAAAAAAACCCCAAAACCAATATAAAATGAAAAATCTGCGGTCTGATAAAAGTGCGTCTATATTTTCACGACCAAAATATATCACATAAAAGTATATCAGACTTTTTCTTTTTGCGTTCCTAAAATTCAGTATACTAATTGTATTCATTTAGCTCACGAATTTTAAAAAATTGGCATCATAAATTCCGATTGAATTCATGCTGAATTTTATTCATTCAGACAGTATTTGGTCAAGATTTAGTATACTGAATTGGCCCTCCTTTTGCAGTGCAATAGTTTGTATATATATTGGATTGGCAATTATTGACTTATATATATATCAGATCAGCAATCATTGGCTTATATATATACCAGATTGGCAATCATTGACTTATATATATATACTAGATCACTAATTATTGGCTTATATATATACCAGATCAGCAATCATTGACTTATATATATATCAGATTGGCAATCATAGACTTATATATATATCAGATTGGCGATCATAGGCTTATATATATATCAGATCACTAATCATTGGCTTATATATATACCAGATCAGCAATCATTAACTTATATATATACCAGATCGCCAATCATTGACTTATATATATACCAGATAACCAATCATTGGCTTATATATATACCAGATCGCCGATCATTGGCTTATATATATACCAGATTGGCAATCATTGACTTATATATATATATACTAGATCACTAATTATTGGCTTATATATATACCAGATCGCCAATCATTGGCTTATATATATACCAGATCGGCAATCATTGACTTATATATACCAGATTACCAATCATTGGCTTATATATATACCAGATCAGCAATCATTAACTTATATATATATCAGATTGGCAATCATAGACTTATATATATATCAGATTGGCTATCATCTACTTATATATGTATGAGATTGGCTATTATCTACTTATATATATATATAGTAGACTGGTGGACAATAGCTTACATATATATATTAAATTAGTAGTTTTAAGCTTATATATATAGCAGACTGACTGTCATCCACTTATATATATAGTAGATTGGTGGTCAATAGCTTATATATATATATATTAAATTGGTAGTTATCAGCTTATATATATAGTAGATCAGCTATCATCCACTTATATATAGTAGATTGGCTGTCAATAGCTTATATATATATATCAAATTGGTGGCTATCAGCTTATATATATACTGGTTTTATCTATTCAATCGGTGCCCATTTCCATCTAATTAGCATCCGTTTCCATCTAATTAGAACCCATTGACATCTGATTGGCTTTTATAGAAATTTAATTTGCGTCCATTGCCAACTGAATTTGCTCTCATTGCCATCTGAATTTGCTCCCCCCCTTTTACTATTGGCAGAAGGGTACATGGCACTCAAATTTTTTATCCTTACACCTTACAATTTTTTTATATAACCGTAGTATTTTTTTTTGTAAATGTCGTACTTTTTTTGTAAATGTCATGCTTTTTTTTGTAAACGTTGTACTTTTTTTTTGTAAACGTCGTATTTTTTTTTGTAAACGTCATATTTTTTGGCATAAAACATGGATATTTTTATTAGGTATAATTAGTTGATAGAGAAATAGAACACATAATAAGAAGTAAGATATAATGAAATATAAAGTAATAAAAAAAGAAAAGCATAAAGCAGTAAAACAAATAAAAAAAGAGGGACATAAAGTGGTAAAAAAAAATAAGAAAAAGAGGGACATAAAGTGGTAAAAAAAAATAAGAAAAAGAGGGACATAAAGTAGTAAAAAATAAAAATAAAATAAAAAAAGACATAGAATATAAAGAGCTTAAATAGACATAAAAGACATACTTAAAGCTTTCACTCTCTGTTCAAACAGCGAGGAAAGAGTGAAATGGCATGGTTAATCCAACCCAAACAGTCCAAAAGGGTGACAGTCTTAGCTGATTCTGTAATCCTTAAGATGAGCCCGTCTGACTCTGTAATCTCTTCTCTGCGGACACCAAACTTGATCTTGGGTCACATTTCCTCAATTGGATTCAGGAAAGGTGAATACACAGGAAGATATGCACACTTGTACCCACGGGAAGAAATAAAGTCTTTCACCTCATCAGCCTTATGGATAGGAGCGTTATCCATGATGAGATAATGTCCTTGCATACTCTGGCTGTCCAGAACGTCCATTGTATGACTAAGAAAGTCGAGGTAGTGCTGGGTTCTGGTGCCAATTTGGCCATTCACCTCAACGTTAGTGTAGATGTCCAACTTTCTCTTCTTCTTGGTTGCGACTGCAGTAGGTTTCTTCAACGAGAGGCTGACAATTCCTCTCTTGCACATTGCACCTAGGATAGTGATGGACGCACCTCTCTGCATTGGGACAGTTGTCTTAGCCGGGGTGCCACTGACGGAACGGCCAAAAGTTCTCTTGATGTGCATGTTGAAGCCTGCTTCATCGATGAACACACAGTTCGACAGATAGTTGAAATCCGCAAGTTGTTGCCACTCCAAAATGCAGTCTTGTCTCATCTCAATTGTGCTGACGTCGTATCTCTTCTCAGGCAGCTTCTCCAACTTCTTCATCGTCAGGGCACACTTCTTTACCAAGTGCTTCTGGATTGCTGATTTGGTAATCTGCAGCCCAGAGAACTCTTCCATGACAGCTACCCTTCCTTGTTCCAAGGTAGCATCTGGTTTATTTTCGAAAAACTTCAAAAAAAAGCAGAGTGCGCCTGGAACAACTTTTGGTTGCCATGTTTTTGTTCTTTAGGCGCAGAAACCTCCTCAACCTCCATTGGACTCATCAGTCTCCACTGTGGCAACATCAAAATCGGCCTGAATCTTCTCTCTGGCCAGCCTGACATAGTTCTGGGCAGTCCAGACATTGATCCCCATTTCTCTGGCAGCGGCAGCAGCAGTCTGGTTTTCCGAGAAAACCAAGGAGAAGAGCTTGTTCACCTGGTTTTGGTTGTACTTTTGGTACAAACCTCGACCTATGCTTTCTGCAGTGGGAACAGAATTAGGGTTGACCTTCTCCAGCAGATTCGTCTTTGGCTTCTGTGCAACAATGGTTTTGGTGGTGGCCTCGTTGACTTCAGTTGGCAAAAAACTTCTGAGACTTAAGAGGTTCGTGACTGCTGGGTTTCCAACCGAGGTACGGGTCCATTTCATATTGGCATGGTTGACAAAGACATCTGTCACAGATCGGAGTACAACTTCTCCATGCATTTCGTCAACAATCTCTTGGTTGAAATCGCACAAGGGGTCAAAAGCAATTCCAGAAAACTGGGTTTGGTCTGCAGAACCGCTGTGACTGACCATTTTACAGTGCTTGTCCATAACAAATTCGAGGGAGTTGTTGGAAGTAGGCATTTTTTTTTGAAAATAAAAAGGGTGTTAAAATCGAGGAAGAAAGATAACTGAGAAACTTTTATTAAGACACTGAGGTATATATACCAAAAAAAAATTTAATAACTTAAACGTTTCTACCAAGGTATAGTCTTGTCCTGTTGTCTTAATATATTTGGATAAAGAACGTGTTGAAGAATAATGAATATTTACATATTAAGCTTCTTCACACTTTTAAGAATATTTATTTTATTAGCTGATTTACAGTGCTACCAGAGCCTTTATGATATCTTGTCCTCGGTCTCAAAGGAAGGGGTGGGATTTCTCCTCATGGGTTTGCCCAACCAAAAAAAAAATAAAAAAAGAAAGTTTTTTTTGTATAGAGCCAAGGAAAAGCTTGAAATTCAGTTATTGAGATTTTCAGTTTTTCAGAAATGTCTGTGGTTAGATACCATTTTATTTTCAGTTATTAAGATTTTCAGTTTTTCAGTTATTGAGACTTTCATTTTTTCAGTTATTGAGACTTTCAGTTTTTCAGAAATTATTTGTGAAAAAATGGTTATGTATATTATAAAAATTTATGAATAAAAATGCTAGTTATACTATTTGGAGAATTATTTTTAAAATTGCTATTACATTTTTCTTTTTTTTATTTCTCTTTTTTTTTCTTTTTTTTTATTTCTATTTTTTTTTATTTCTTTTTTTTTATTTCTTTTTTTTTTATTTTTATTTTTTTTTTATTTCTTTTTTTTATTTTTTTTTATTTTTTCATCTTTTTTTTTCATCTCTTTTTTATTTCTTTTTTTTGTCATGAGCTTGTGCTATTTTTTGTTACTGTTTTTGTGTGTGTAATATTTGGTTTTTTTTTGGTATTTTGTATTATGAGGGTTTCCAAAATTGAGATTGGGTAGTATTATGGGCAAAGCATAATTCTTGGACCACTTTCAGTTGTTTAACAGATTGTTGAACATTTACTTGTTTTGAGTGCAGATTACAAAGAGTTGTTGAGTTTGATATTAAGAAGATTAGGATTCTGACATTGTATAATGGTTGGAGCAGGTGCTGAATAAATATAGCATTTTTAGATTCTTTTTTGTAATGGTATTAGATGCTTATGTAGGATCAGGTTCATAAGAAATACAATTGCTGTGGTAGTCAATCAGATTACTGAATATTTGAGATAAAAATTGACAAGTTTTTGTGTGGTCGGTAGAGTGAATTCTACTGCTGGATTTCAAAAAAGTATGGTCAGTGAAATGCACTTAAAAGCATTATGAATATGTGTAGACTGATTCCTATCGTACAGGTAGATGTTTGATCTTGTAGTTTCTTTGTAGGTGGAGGGTTGAATTGTCATGTTTTCTTTTCAGATTTATAGCTTTTGTTCAAAATACTATAGATTATTTAGAGATTAATATCAATGACTCCGAGATATAGGCTTTATTTACATACAGAAACATAATGTGATCTGGAAATAATAAAAAAATCCATGAGGTGTAGAGCTTTAAACAGTGTTTTCATTGTCAGAATAGTATTTAGTTGTTGAAGTGAGTATGAGAATGAGATTTATTGCTAATTTAAGAAGAGAAATAAAGAGTTTTGGTATATAAACACCAAATGGAAAGAGAGAGAATTATGATATCTCTTTTAAAAAAGAATGTTTATAATAAATTTATGGCTGTGGATAATATATTGTCCTATTTATTTTTTATCTCCTTGAGTTCAATTTGTACTACTTTATTTAGTGTACCTTGGAATATTATTTTTTGATATAAAAAGCTGAAAATATAATGACTAATACTATTTAATAACAACTCAATCTTCTTTACATCTATTCTTGCTGCTTCAACTTGTGTTCTGATTTTTATCTTGCATCTTAAGTAATTACTATTTAATTATAACTGCTATGTGCCAGATATAACTATATTTATATAAAATATGTCACTTTAACATATCTTTCTATTTCTTTATTTTTTCACCTTTTATTATCAGAAAACCCTACAATGTTACATGAAAAGCTTGAAGAATATAACAGTGCCTTTGAAAAAATCATGGAAGAGCTTGAAGAGCCTGAAATGCCAGAAGATCCAAAAAGGTCTGCCCCGTCAACAACAGACAAAACCCCCAAAAAAAGTAGAGGGCAATATCAAAAGCCTACGGATAAAGATATAAAAAAGCTTCTTTATCTCTACTTCATAAGGGGATTAACTATTGAAAAAGCCAGCAAGATAGTAAATATGAAACAAACAACTGCTGGTGGCTATATTTTGAAGTGGAGAAAGTCTCCAGTTGTTTTTTCATTAAAAACAACAAGGAGGCTACAAGTGATGAAAAAATGAATCTTTTATTCGAAACTTACTCTGCAATAAAGAAAGAATACAAATAATATCATTGCATTTTCAATTTTAATATAATTATTATAATGAGATACTTGCTTTATTATCTTATAACTGCAGTAAGATATTTAACTTTAACAAAGTAATCTGGAGAAAATTTTGCATATTCTGTTAGTTCTCTCTATAGATATTTTCTATGACGTATCTTTGTAGAAAGATCTACATATATTGAAATGCTATTACATTAGGCGTTTGGCACTTATATAAAAAAATATGACAGTTATATAAAAAAAAATATGACATTTACAAAAAAAAATTACTATGGTTATATAAAAAAAATACGACGTTTACAAAAAAAAATACTATGGTTATATAAAAAAAATTCGACGTTTACAAAAAAAAATATGACGTTTACAAAAAAAAATTGTAAGCCGTAAGAATAAAAAATTTGAGTGCCATGTACCCTTCTGCCAATAGTAAAAGGGGGGGAGCAAATTCAGATGGCAATGGAAGCAAATTCAATTTCTATGAAAGCCAATCAGATGTCAATGGGTTCTAATTAGATGGAAACAGATGCTAATTAGATAGAAATGGGCGCCAATTGAATGGATAAAACCAGTACTAACTGTAATAATTATTGGGCTGATTACTTAATCGTTTATATATATTTTATACTGAGAAGATGATAGCTACTATGCTATCCCAATATGAATATGTTCTTATATGTGATAAATCCAATATCCAAGTGTCTGGATCACCACAACTTTTAATCTTCATAATGTGTTGGTGCCTGACCTTTATGATTCCATATAAAGAATATCAAAATAGATATGCAGTTTTAAAAAACTTTCTTTTTATATATCAAGTCAGATAAGTATATCTAAAGTGCTAACAAACCTTACCTGCGGCACTCCCACCCACAATTCCGCTAGTTGACTCTAGTCATTCTACTATCTGTGAAAGTCACCTTCAGCACAAGTGGAAAAAAATCAACTAATTTAAATATGGAAATTATACTACACTATACCCCATATTTAAACAACCTTATTTTTTTTTAATTTTTTCAGTGCTTTTACCACTGCAACTACTATCACTACCACTTCTATCACTAACTTTTCTACAAATTCTTTCTTATGCTCTTCTGATATTATTGATCTCACACATATATAACTTATTTATCTTTTTATCTTTTAATATACTTTACTCTTATTTTTTCTTTCATTTTTAACAAACACAATTGTATCTAGTCTGTCTTTAATTTTAATGTTATATGTAAAACCCAGATACAAATATAATTGGTATCCAATTAATTGGGAAACTATATAATTTGCTTTTATTCTCTGGAGTACAAAGTCTGTGCATTTATAAGCAATCTGATTAAGATCTTTATCCCATCACAGATATGGATTTTACTGTAAAAGATGTAAAACAAAAACAACGCATAGTTTTTGATAGATTTCTGTCTTAATTCAAACGCTAAAGCTTGGATATTTTGTTACATTGCGGAAAACATATGTACATCTCTATATCCAAAATTTGAAGTTAATTAATTATGTTTTGGTTGAATAAACTAGCAAAATGTACACTTTTTTTTACGTTTTTAATTATTTGAAATAGATTGTTTTTGCCAATAAATATATCTTCTATATAATATTATAGTCTAAAACTTTTACTGAAACATTTTTTTTACTATTTTCTATTGATATAAAGCATTTGTAAGTGATTTTTACTAATATTTTCAAATTGTTATTTTTTTTCAATCTTTCACAAATGAATTATATAGAACTTTTGTAATTCACTCTTTAAATGCAATTCAAAAAATGTTATAAAACAAACAAATACTCACTTTATGCAGAAAACATCAATGAAACCAATTATTTTACTTTTATATTTCTATCTATTTTTTTGAACGAGTTATGAATTTTTAAAAATAAAAAAAATGAAAATGAAAAGTTGCGAACAAATGTTCTTTCACTTTTGCATGATTTTTCTTAGTTAATAAAGACAAGTGATTATACCGAATGGGGACAGGGGGTGACTGTTTTTTGGGGGCCAGGGTGTTACACACAGAACTGATAGATGTCTGCCGGACAAGTTAAAAGTAGTCACGCCTCTAATTATCTGCCGGACTACTCACTATAAGCTTGTGTAATATCCTTTCCCCTAAGATTTACGAAATTAAAAAGGGGTTTTCAAAAGAATGTCTGGACTTGATAGAATATGGTTTTTAGACTGAGGCCAACAACATCAACACATTATATGTCAGTCTGTTGTAGCTAGCAAGCCAGAGCTTAAACAAAAGAGGAGGTTCAAACCAATTGTTCTAAAAAGAGGAAAGGGCAAACAAATCTCTTTTGTAATTAATTACTTTGATCTTCACTCACATTCTCACATTGTTGTAAATAAGTATTGACTACTGCTGTAATTGAGAATAAGTCTGAAGGAAATAATGTAAGGCCTCAGCTATTCCAGTCAAAGGTGTTTACTAATTACTTTATTATTTAACACACAGGTTTATCATATATGATAGTGATTATATTTCATATGAAGATATGACCATAATATGGGATACATCAGTAGATTATTATAAGTATAATTATAACTCATAAACATATTTACTTTTGATGTTAATATTTCAATGGGATTATATATATATATATAATTAATTATACATTAATTATTCTAAGATCATGTTGCTCTGATTAAGACTCAGATAGGATCGATCACCTGACCTCAGTCATATAATTTTCCTGATTCAAAACAATATAAATAGCAGTGGTAGTTCAGTGTAAAAACCTGATCAAATTTTGATACCAAATCTTTCTTAACAAACAAACTCTACACAAGTTCTCCTAAATCTTCATTCCTTATCTCAAATCTTTAATTTTTCTTTTTAAAAACTTCTTCAACTTCAACCAGCACAACACACATAACAGAAATAATAATTTAAATTAATATTCTTACAAAAGAGGCGTCATATCAAACAACATCTCAAGACAAACATTCCAAATAATTAGTATAAATATCAATAGTAATTGCTCATAATAAAATTATCTTTTATCTACTATACTATTTTGTCTGTTTGATTGTATTTTTTTAAGTATACTTCTTTATTATCAAGTATACTTCTTTGCCTGTTTATATATTGCTTAGCATGCTGTGTTAACCTACTGCAATCTATTAACTCTTATATATGTGATACTTGTATTTGTAATAAATGTTGACAGGTGATGTTATCACGGTTTTTGAGGTTTGAATAGTTTGTAGATGTGAAATAACCTCTCTTTTTCACAAGAGAGAAAAGACCAACTCAAAAGAGAATATAGAATTAAAGATAATAAAATCAATAAGAGAAAAATAAGAGGAAAACAGTACTTTTAATCAAATAAGTAAAATATCAATAGCGTTAAATATTAAGAAAACTTGTTATCAGAAAATAAGACAAAAAAATCCATGTTTATTAAATACAAGTATTGCGATATTTATAGTTTTGCAATTAACTTGTTGAATAATTAAAAAAAATAAAATTATAAAGAAAAATATATAATAAAATTTGTACAATTAACGATCTATTAAATGCAATTTGTTCTTTACTATCATTAAGTACAAATATAATAAAATAATTATTAAGTCATAATCATGAAGATAATTATGTTTGTAAGAATATATAATAAAAATAATATTAATTCTAAGTTAATTCGTTCAGTTAAATATAGTGAGAAAAAAAGATACAATATGTAGTTATCTTAAGTTATTGTTGACAGAATGATGCTTTTTCGTTGTATTTATTGGTGTTTTGCTCTACAAGCAGAAAAATTGCTTTCTATTCAGCCTCGGCCGCCATTGGAAAATCAAAAAAAATAATAATAGAATATTTTTTCTAGAATTACAAAGAATTCTGCAATATCACTGCACTGCTGGACAACCGAAACTTGTTGTATTTTACATATAATTTAACTATTGAGTATTAATTCAAAACAAGCTTCCTTAGCGCAGTTGGCAGCGCGTTAGTCTCATAATCTGAAGGTCGCCAGTTCGATCCTGGCAGGGAGCATTTTTGCTACATTCTTTTGTCAATATGTTGCTCCCTATCTGGGATGTTTTTGGACATTATTGGTTTTATTCATTTAATTAGATGTCAGAGTTGACATCTGTGCCCAACATTGGGAATTGCAAGTAACCAGTAATGGTTGACTTTTTAGGATAAATGATCTTGACATTGCTGATTGGTCTCTTGTATATGTTTTAGATATTTAAGATATTAAATATACTTGTAGAAGATATTACTGGACAACAAGCATCTAAGACATATTATTGTAGCTATTCTTTTAGCCAGAAATCAAACATCATTTTGTATAAATAGTCAAGAAATATAATTAATAAAAAGCATCTTTATTCTTATCAAAAAACCTATTCTTAAAACTTAACGATCCCCAGTGGTATTGATTCTGCAACTTAGTTACAAGTGTCAGAAAAAAAATACCAGATTGGGACTTGACATAGCATCTGTTTCCATCTAATTAGAACCCATTGCGATCTGAATTTGCTCCCCTCTCTTTTACTATTAGCAGAAGGGTACATGGCACTCAAATTTTTTATCCTTACGCCTTAGAATTTTTTTTATAGAACTGTAGTATTTTTTGGTAAATGTCATATCTTTTTATAGAACTGTAGTATTTTTTTGGTAAACATCATATTTTTGGCATTTTATATGAAGTTTACAGAGTTAGAAATCCTAAGTAAAAGGTGAGATCATAACAATTTTTATATGTGGACTTTGTTACAATCTTCACTACTTAAAAATATAATAATTTTACTAGTAAAAGTGTAAATGATTTATCACGTGATTTTTTAATGTGTTTTTCATGTCCTACTCACTCTATTTTGCTTAATCCTAACTTTTATTTCTATTTCTATTCATTATTTTAAGATAAATTATTACAAATTAAAAAAATGTCTAGAGCTATTCTCACTTCTGAAAAAAGAACTGAAAAACAATGTCAATACATGAGAGAATATTAATATAATTGTTGGCAAGCAATGCGAGAAGAAGTAACAGTACTAAAAGAAAGGAATCTGATCTCTTGGACTGAATACATGCAAGAGTATTGACGTAATTATTGTCAAGCAGCAGAAATAGAAATAGACAGTAGCCATGATTCCAGAGCAGAATATTTGCAAGAGTATTGCCTTTGGTGCCAACAGTCTACTGAGATAGAAGTGGTGGGAGCTGAAGTAGAAGTGCACAACTCCTGAGCAGAGTACATGCGTCAATATAGATGCATTCAACGGCTTAGAGCTGCTGAAGACAATGAGAGAGCTATAAGAAGACACAGGCAAGATGACGAAGTTGAAGCAGATAGCTGAGAAACTATCTGGAGTAAATATGAAACTATGATCAGAGAGGATTCTATTGCCGTCTGTGGCTGTTGTGGGGGTTTTTTCTTCAGAAAAGATATATCTATAATTGAAAGAATCACACTGAAAGAAGCTTGGGGTTGTGATGATAATGTAGTTGGAAAAGCCTTCTGGGCAATTAATAATCAATATATTACAACTGCTTTTCTGAATAGGTTAACCATTGATCAGATCCCATTATTCTCCACTTGTAAAATAGACTTAAAGAAGAAAACCACACCTACTATTGCTCTATCAGATGGTCTTCATTTGTCTAATTATGTTAATTGTATAGACGACCTAACAAGATTAGAAAAAAGACTAGTTTCGTCATGCCATGTATTTCAATCAATTTGAACACACAAAGAGTTAACTGGGCAATATAGAAGCAAAGGTGACAGTGAATATTTCAGTTAACATAGACATAGCAGTCTCGTCACTTCCTCCCAATTTTGATGACACCTATACTATTCATTTGAGCTTAACCCGTAAGATATGCTATGTCAAGAATTACATCAGAGGCAATATCAGTCGAGCAAAAGTTTGGAGAGCAGCCGTTTTCTTACAGTCAACACCACTCTACCAAGAGTACAATATAACTTTAAGTAATGACTGAATAGAAGATATTACTAGAAGTAATACTGAGGTCATAGGGACTGGTGATGCTGAAGGGCAAGATCAGAGTGTAGAAGAAGTTGGAGAAGATAAGTTAGAAGACAACGGTAACCAAGAATCTGTAATTGTCTCTGACTATGAAGCTATCAGACTTTCATCTGGAGATAACAGAATACCATTATCTGTTCTAACTGACAAAGATAGTGACTTTCTATCTTTCCCAAAGATATTTTGAAGACAAAGACTATCTATACCTGAAAATGTATTGTATTCATTCTTGACTAAGTCTATTTCGAGAAGGTTTGACCAAAGAGCAGCCCAAACAGTAGAGTATATCTTATACATGGATTGTAAAAACCAGTTGATTAGAATGTACAGCAATTTGAATACTGTTCTTCGCAAGAAAAGAAATACTAACAACAATAACACTTCTTACATTGCTTCAGACTTTTTAAGTAATAATAGCATTGAAGGGTTGATAAGCAAAGACTAAGCATATAAGATATTCAGTAGCATTCAGTCCACTGCTAAATACTGGAAAAATGAGAAAAAAAATCTTTTGGCATGGTTTGGCAATTTGGTATTCCCACAATCTTTGTTACTCTGTCCACAGCTGAAGCAAATTGGCTAAAACTTCTATGTATTCTTAGGTTTGTAACAGATGGCATAATAATCACAGAAGATCAAGCAGAGCAATTATCATATGCAGAGAAGGTAACTCTTATCCAGAAAGACCCTATAACTTGTGCAAGATATTTTGATTATCAATTAAGACAGTTAAAAGACATGGAAAGTACCTTATGAACCTTTTGGAAATTATCCCATCAAGAAATATTTCTTCAGAATCGAATTCCAACACAGAGGTTCACCTCACGTTCATATACTTGTTTGGCTCAAAGGTGCTTCTAAGTATGATGAGGATATTTCTGTTGACGAAACTACATCTGAAGAAAGACAAAGGACTATCTGTGACTTTGTTGATAGCATAATAATGTGTAAAAAAAATGAGATGAGATGCCTCATAATAGACAAACCGACCGCTGTAGTGAAGATATCTGGAAAGAGCTGTTGAAAAGGCAATTTCATGAGCATAGATTTGCTTGCCAAAGAAAAGAAAATAATGTTACAGTCTGTCAATTCAACATCCCATTTTATCCCATGGACAAAACTCGCATACTCTGTCCATTTAGTACAGACAAGACTCTATCAGAGAACATGTAAAAAAAATGTAAACAAGATATCACTTGTATTAAGGCATATCTTAAAGAAAATTATAAAGAAATTGGATTATCAACAATGGAATTTATGGATTTTCTAACAGCTGTAAATATTACATCTATTGATAAATACATATTGGCAATTCGTAATAGCCTCAAAATTAACAAAGTTTTAATCAAATCAGAGCCAAACAAAGTGATAATCAACAACTACAATCCAAAAATACTTAGTATGTTCTAATCAAATATGAACATCCAATTCATTTTTGATCCTTATGCATGTTGTGAATATGTTGTTGACTACATTAATAAGGCAGACAGAGAATTAAGTAAGACACTGGAAGAGGTGTATAAAAAGTATAAAGAGGATAGTAGTTTTACACCTATAGATACAATGAGATCACTTGCAGCTACGTATTACAATGCTAGTGAGATCTCCACACAAGAAACTGCATATAATTTGCTACTGATCAGAATGTCTGAAGCAAGTACTGTAACAGTATTCATACCAACAGGCAGACCTGAAACCCATATGCATATTTTAAAGAAGCAATCTGAGCTTGAGAAAATGGATCCAGATTCAACCAACTGTTTTGAGTCAGGCCTAATTAAACATTATGTTTCCCACCCAGAGATTTTTGAAAATCTCAACTTAGCCCAATTTGCCTCCCATTTTGAGTTTTCAAGAAAGAAACCATCAAGAGCCAGGAACGCAAATCTCACCAATCATGATGAAATTAATATTGATAATATAGATCCTGATAATGACCAGAGAGGAAATTTAATTAGCAGAAATTGACTAAACTTCCAAGAATACTGCAAGTCATATATTCTATGGTGAGCCAGGCATTGTATACTCTCTTTTACAAAACCAAAGATATATTCGAAAGAGAACCAAACCTTGAGTTATCTGTTACTATAAGTTTAATGTCTATCGGGATGATAATGACTACTATCACTGTCTTTTAGTACTATATTCAAGTTGGAGAAACAAAGAGAAAGAGCTTTTGAGTATAAACTGTGAAGAGAAGTTTTTGGAAGTTTCCAAAGCTATAATATTAGCAAAGAGAGAGTTTTGCCAAATAGATGATGATGTTTTGGATAGATATGTTGAAACAATTTCAATGGAACAAGATGCTCTGAATACAGAAAGAGAAAACAATCCATCAGAAACTACAAATCCTATGGTACCATATGTTGCTGAGAATGATTTCAGATGATATACTTTGGATATTGATGATAGTTCTGACAGACAATATCATTGAGAAACAGATCTGACAGACAAATTAAACCCAAATGGAAATATCAAAAATAATTGTCTAATCTACTTGGAAACAACCAAAGTTCTGAAATGCTTCCAGAATCTGAGTACCAAGAGCTTCTTTCAATGTTAAACCTAAAACAGCGCTAGTATTTGTATTATATTATCGATCACATCTGCTACAACAATGATAACCTTTTATCACATCAGCTTAATTCTTCTATATCATCATAACCTTATGCAGCATTTTATCATTTTGTAACAGGAGGAGCAGGTACTGAAAAAAGTCTGCTGATTAAAGCCATATACCAATCTCTTGTGTGTCATTTTGACAAAAGTAGAAAAAGAAATATGAATACACCATCTGTGTTGCTTTGTGCTCCCACTAGAAAGGCAGCTTTTAATATTTCAGCTCAAACTCTACATAACACATTCAGTTTGCCTGTAACCCAACGTGGAATTGAAGGCCTCATGCAGCTCTCCACTGATGGTTCCCATTCAATGAGTATTGCACTTGCAGATTTAAATGTAATTATCATTGATAAAATTAGTATGGTTGGAGAAATGCTGTTTGGATGAGTTGATCAAAGACTTTGTAATATTTTTGATCCTTCAGTACCTTTTGGTAGAAAATCTATAATTGTATTTGGTGATTTCTTACAGCTACCACCTATTGGAGACAGCCTATTATACAGTACAAGTCGTGCTAGAGATACCAATCCATTTATATCATTATTTGGATACAAGATATGAGATCTATTCAAAGTGCATAAATTAGAGGAAATTATGAGACAGAGGGATGATGTTCCATTTGTTACAGTATTGAACAACATGGCTATAGAGGCAATGACCGAATCTGATATTGAGATCTTCCAAAGTCAAGTTGTACAAATAAGCCCTGAAAGTGCAGCTGATATAAATAATGAAAAAATAACTGTTTCACTAAATATAATTAGTCAAGAAAGCACTTCTTCCACAGGCACCAGTTCAAAATTAATATTTCTTTTCAGTAGAAACTCATTTGTTCAACAAACAAACCAGAATATATTGATGAGTTTAAATACAGAAGGTGCAATCTCAAAGGCATTTGACCAAATTATTGGACAGTGTAGAGATGGAAGTTATATCCAACGACTCTTATTCTCTGCAGACAATCATGCAAAACAATTCGATATTCAAGGCCTAATCAAAACGCTTTTATTGAAGATCAGTGAAAAATACATGATGACAGTCAATATTGATACTACTGATGGGCTTGTCAATGAAACAAAAGGCATATTAGAGACGTTTGTGAACTCAGATTTGTAGAGTTGTACAAGAATTAGCTAAAAAAAGGTTTTTTGAAGTTTTCAAAATAGATTCATAAAAGGATTACTCATTATCTAAATAATATTTTTGCCAAGGCGACTACTAAAATTACAACTAATAATGTATGCTATTGATTCAACTAAACTTTTTGTTGCTTTGACTATAAAACAGCTGTAAATTCTATATGTAACTGGAAATTGTATTGCATATATTTTCTCCAAGCCATATGTGATATAAAATTAGAGTAAATTGCATATAAAAATGTATAATCAGACTTTTTCTATGCCATTGTAAGCTTATATTCGAAAGTTACATTTCTCTATATATTTCTGCTGTTTAAATAGCATCAGTTTAGAAAAGCAAATAAATGAATATTAAAGGCTACCAATTTAAATAAGGTTTGATAGAAAATCTATCAAACTTTAGTCAAGTTGGTAGAGTAGTGTCTCTATATAGATGTGTATGTAACATTGAGTTTCCTTTCTAAGGCAATGAGCTTGTGCAAAAAGTTGAAAATCTGAACCCACAAACGTCTCTATTAAAGAGAATTGACTATGGTCAGATTTCTGATTAAGACAGCACTGAATTAGAAGAGTTCACTTTCTTGCCCATAAGAAAACTATTGCGCCTATAGATACAGTTTGATGATGAAAGAAGTGGAAAAGAGCTTAGAAAAAAGCAGCAAAGGATTCGCCAAAATCTCAGTATCTCAAACAATTGGACTATGATAGAGCCTCATTGTGCTATTATTCACAGAAACATCAAAAGTCAAATCCAATTAAGTCGAACTCAATTCCCTGTTGTGTCAGCTAAATCACTAACAGCTCATAAGTCTCAAGGAGGCACATACTCCTCAGTTGTAATATTTGATCATGGCTCAACAAAAAATACTAGATTGCTTCAATATGTTATATGTTCCAAATCCACTTCTGCTAATGGACTGCAGCTGATATGTAGAGGTAACCGATTTGTTCCACCAAAACATATTGACAAAGATCGAAATGCACAGTTAAAGAATGAGCTGTACAGACATATTTCTGTACAATTAGTCCTAGAATTCAAACATTTAACAAGTCAAAGAACAGACGGGTCTATTCAGCTAATATCACATAACATGCAAAGTTTGCGAGCTCATATTAATCAAATATCAAGTGATCAAGTATATCTTGCATCAGATATTCTTCTTTTAAACGAAACATAGACAATGCCAAGGCATGATAGACTCAATATTTAGGATTTTACACTTGTATTCTTTGCGGACAGTGATTGAACTCATGCTCAAGTCTCAGGACCTGCTGCTATGTCTGAAACTCTTTTTTACAAAGTACTGCTAGTTTAAATTATACACCCACCTTATATTCTGCCAATTCTAAACTATTTCTTGATGGAGAAGGTAGATCAACAAGTGCTGCACTTTTTATATTAGATCAAAACCTCTTTTGCAGCCTATATGTTTCTTCACTTTGCAAACAGAACACAATGATTGAAGCCATTGAATTTTTTTCACAGCACTATTATATACATATTACCATTGCTGGTGATTTCAACATTGGTTTTAAAAAGGAATCAGGTAAAAAAACTGCTTTACTTCAATTTATAAATAACAGAAATATGATCAGTACTCTCCCCAACACGATTCAATCAACAACTAACAAAAACACACATATTGACTGTTGTGGTGGTTGAAGTTGAAGAAGTTTTTAAGAGGAAGAATTGAAGATTTGAGATTAGGAACGAAGATTTGTGAGAACTTGTGTAGGTTTTGTTTATTGAGAAAGGATTTTGTATCAAAGTTTGACCAGGTTCCTACACTGAACTACTACTGCTATTTATATTATTTTGGATCAGGAAAATTATATGACTGGGGTCAGATAATCGATCCTATCTGAGCCTTAATCAGAGCAACGTGATCTTGGGATAATTAATGTATGATTAATTATATAAATGTATGTAGTCCCAATGAAGTATTAACATCGAAAGTAAATGCGTTTATGAGTTATAATTATGCTTATAATAATCCAATGATGTATCCCATATTATGGTGATATCATCATATTGAATATAATCACTATCATGCATGCTAAACCTGTGTGTTAAATAATAAAGTAATCAGTAGACACCTTTGACTGGAATAGCTGAGGCCTTATATTATTTCCTTCAGACTTATTCTCAATTACAGCAGTAGTCAATACTCATTTACAACACTGGGTATAAAAACCACCTTTCCAGCATTTGATCCTGTTACAATGGTGGCCTTGATAACATATCTGCCAAAGTCATTGCATATAAGGCGGGTACTATTGCAGAGGCCATTCTTGGGTCCAGGTTTCTCAGTAGCATAATTGGACATCCGTTCTTGAGGCATAGAGTATGTGGAGGCAAAGATCCAGGGTCGAGTTTGTTGAGAAATTCAATTGCATAACTCAATTGATCATCTTCGCTGAGACCTTCATCAATACTCTTGAACTCTGTTGCTTGTCTAGGGAACAGTTTCATAATAATGTTGTTGATCTTCTTAACTTCTGCATTCTTTGGGGTTAAGATTGCACAGCTCATAAGGAAGCTGGGATTGCTGGCATTGTTAGAAAGATCAGGGAAGATTGTACTGGCCAGGTGATTGATATTACGGCCTCAGATAAACATATAGGGGGGGATCTGAAAGGTGCCTGGACCACCAGTGGTCTGAAGACTGCCATTGCCAACAGTCAGAAGAAGGGCAGCAAACTCATTAAGTTGTGCCACTTCCCAGGAATCAGTGGACTCGGCAATACACATGTTCCTTGTGAGTTTCATGGAGTGAACATGGCTCTAGAGACATGCTTTCTTGATGCACTAAGAAAAAATCTGGGCTCTGTTTCCTCCTTGAATGACAGGAAGCACCTGGCAAAAGTCACTACCAAAAACGAACAGCTTGCCACCAAAAGGAACAGTATTGAGCAAGGGGTCAACCAACTTCATAACATCTTGAATAGAACAATTGACGGCATTGATAAGATACTTGCTGACCATGGAGACCTCATCCCAAACAATCAACTCTGTTTTCCTGATCAACTTTGCAAGCTCAGAGTTGGAAGGAATGGAACAAATAGAGTTGACGTCAATGTTAATGGGAATCTTGAACCTGGAATGAGCTGTTTGGCTACCATCCAAAAGCAGAGCTGCAATTCCACTGGTAGCTACCACGAGAGCAATCTTGCCTTGTTGACAGACTTTTTTGAGCATGGCATTGAATAAAAAAAGTCTTTCCAGTGCCACCTGGTCCGTCAACAAAATATAATCTTGGGGTTGTAGGGCTTGCATCAACTACTTTCATGACAACATGGTATACTGCTAGCTGTTCCTCATTGAATGAGAGCGTGTCCAAATCAGGCAAAGACAAAGCTTTGGTACAAAGGGCTTCTTGCTCATCAATCAATGTTCTCAATCCACTGGCAGGGATCTGGGCATCTGAGGAGTCTGGCAGTGGGGTGAGAACAAACCCAGAAAAGGAAGCGAGAGAAAGACCATTGGCTGACATGTGGCTTTCAATGCTCCACAGACATCTGTCATACTTGACTTCAGTTGGCTCAAGAGAGAAGTCATTTTCTGCCTGTCAGAAAGCATGGAGATAGTCCTCGACCATGGAAGAGCGGTATGCCAGCCAGAGAGCAAAGGGATCAGACACCTCACAGAAGACCAAGAGGACGGCAAACAGGTGAGGCAATGATGATGGGATCTCATAGCCTACAGCTTCTTCCATACAGCGGTTCCATTTGCTGTTATCCACCAACAGCCCAAGAGCACAGCAAGCATCTTGATTAGTAGGATATACATGGCCTTCAAAAGTACGCAGATACTCAAAACTTGTGGCACCAGGGACATTGAGCAGCAAGATTCTCAGATAATACCGTTCTGGGTTTCTTGGTGAAACAGTGTGGACTCTGCCAAGGGTTTTGCTTTCCTTTTTGCCACGTGGAGTCCACTTTCCCTGATTTTTTTTCATGTAAAATGCGAAGGAAATTCCAAATAAAGATACTTGCAGAACGAAATATCCAATGTATTGTGAGCAAACCATCCAGTTAAGGTGGTGGAGGAGCCCCACCCAGATGTTTCTTCAAGAGAGTCAGATTCACGGAAGTAAATGGTCTTGGCGTTCTTAAGATGGATAGCAAGTCTCTGGTGAGCTGGGGACTCACTGTGAATCCTAAAAGAAAAGATTCTCCAGCAAGCTTCAGACGCAGAGACATAACAGGCATCAAGGAATTCTTGGATCTCATTGATAGGTTCTTGGGGGGTGGATGAGAATCCAGGCTGCAGGACTGTCATGGCATGGTCATGACCCTTGTATACATACTTGTAAAGATATTTTACAGAGGCAACAGAGGTACAGATCTCAACGTTGATATGTGCATTGTACTTTACACATAGGTAGCGGTTGTGAGGAACTATGCATCGCTTGTCCAGGATGGTATTGTACCGTATGACTGATCTTCAATTCTGTCTCCAGCTATACAAAGGGTATCCAGCACCATCTTCAATTGTATCGTCTTGGGCATTCTTTGGATAATGCTTCTGGAAGCGACCATTCTTCATGCAATGTGCTAGAGGGACATTAGCAAGACGGACCTCCTCTCCACATGGTCCATGCACCATATGGCGGCTGATGATTGCAAATACTTCTGGCTCAAGATCAGGATCCAGATACTCAGCAGAGACGATTCTGTCATAATCGTCTACTGTAACTGGCTTGTCTGCCGTAGCTAGGATCAACAGAATATGGGCTTGAGGGAGACCTCGCTTCTGGAACTCAATGACATGGACATGTGCTACGGCCTTCCCCAAGATATGCTTCTTTGTTAAGTCGTGCATGAGTTGCTCAAGCTTCATGTGGAACACGGGAACAAAGATCAGGTCTATCCACTGCAAAAGGAGGGTGGATTTGGTCGAATTTTATTTTTTGAATTTTGGCAAAGTTTGGAAAAATATTTCAAACACCATCGTTTTTCAATATATTTTTTTCTTGAGATGGGAATTCGCAATTTTTTCTGATTATATTAAATAAACACAGATACAAACACAAATATTTATTAATTAGGCAATAAATCGCACAATTGTCTTAAAAAATATATGTTTCGATTGACTTGGCAGAAAAATAAAAAATAAAAATAAAATATTAAATGTTAAATGTAGTATTTAATTATTTTTCTGGAAGGAAAAACTTGTTGTTACAGATGCACCTAATTTAGACTCAATAATATTTTTATTGCATCGCAAAAAATACCGATTTTTATTAGAATATAATAATATATGATATATGACTTATTTTTAATAAGAAAGTATATCAAAAAAAATTGAAAAAAAGAGCAAGAATTGATGTCATAAAAAATACAAGAAAAAGAAAATCCAAAAAAGGCCACTTGCCAAAATGAGCAAGAATTGATGTCATGTTAAAAAAACGCAAAAGAGAAAAACTACGCCATTATATCAGTGATTATTAAATTGAAGCCCCATTAATAATCAGGCATACTTTTTTTAAGAAAAGATCACTGCATCAAAATCCATTTGTAACTCTTACTAATAGGGACGGTAAGCTCAATGTAGTCAATGACATAGTGAACAAGATATATCAACTCATTATTAATGACAAAAATAAGAGACATATAAAAGATGAAAATAAAATATAGTATACACCTCTTTATTATTTTATTATTATTAATATTATTCTTACTGTTATGAATTCTACAACTAAAACCTACACTGTTATGTGTATATGTTCATCATGTACCAAAAATGCAATTGGCGGAATTTTGCAAAATGCACAGACCTTTAAGCGTCATAATAATGCTGATAAGTTATTAGACATTGGCCCAAAAAATCGAGGTAAATGACATTTGAGTAGTACATGCATTACTGGATAAATTGTAATCTAATATTTTTTTGTTAATTATCAGTTAATACAGAAGTTGTCAAAGAAGAGACAGACGTTGAGATGGTAGATGTATCTGAAACATTGATTGATTGTGAGTATAAAATTTCTTTTTAATAAATCATAATTTAGATAGCTAATAGTCTGGTTTTACTATAGATGAAGACAATTATTCTATTGTATCAGCCGAAACTACCATACAAAGTGTACCTTTTTTGAGAGAAGACGAGATTTTTCAATTCGAAGAGTCTGATGTCGAGACAACATCATTGGCTTCTGACAATGACGATCCTGATTCAAGCGATGAGTCTGAAGATGAGAGCGAAGTTGAGGTTGCCGGTGTTGAAGATTTTGAAGACACGGTTGCTTCCGGTATGCATACATTTAAAAAAGAAATATACATAAATTGTGTTACAAATAATTAACAGAAATACTTGCCTTTGTAGTTGCTTCTTTGAAAATTCATGAAATGTCTCAAACAAGCCAATTCATGGCTCTATTTGGCGTTATCTTTCAGGCGTTTTACTTGGTTCAAGCAGGTGGAACTGCTATGTTGAAATTCTTCCGCCATCTTCTTATTGCCTTTGATAAGGATACCGATCTCCCACTCACCATTGATGCATTAAAGACTATGACCGGCTTCAATTTCATGACAAAAAGCATCGTCAAATACACCGTCTGCAACAAGTGCTTTGCAATTTACCTACCAGGCAATCGCCAACCAAATTGCACATTCGAAAAATACACAACCACACCACCAACATACTGCGGAAATCCTCTTTTCTCTGACACCGAAGCTGATCGCGCTGTCCCTCTCATGGTTTTTCGATACAACTCGCTCAAGAATGCATTGGCACAGCATTTCGCCAAACCTGGGTTCGAGCATCAAATCGTTCAATGGAGATCGAGGGAAACCGTAAACAGTACCTTGTTGGACGTCTATGATGGTGCAATGTGGTCTGAGCTCCTTGATGAAGATGACAAGCCTTTTGTGAATCACGACCATTCTTTGATGTTGACATTGAATGTGGATTGGTTTCAACCGTTCGAGGGTCGTACACATGCAAGTGGGGCCTTGTACCTGTCAATGAACAACCTGCCTAGGGAAGAAAGAATGAAGCCGGAAAACATTATCCTTGTCGGTGTCATGCCTGGTCCAAAGGAAGCGAAGATCGACCAGATGAATAACTTCTTGGAACCTCTGGTAGACGAGCTGGTAGAGTTATATGGCGGCATAACTATGAAAACTCCAGAGTTCCCCAATGGTACTAGTATCCGCGCTGCTCTTATGTGTGTTGCTTGCGACATACCTGCTGCAAGAAAGACTGCTGGATTTACAGGATTTGCAAGTACAAACGCCTGTCACATATGCAAGCGTCATTTCACTGTTGTTGCTGGAACAAGTAAGATCAATTATTCTGGATTCGATCATGAGAACTGGGTCTCCCGAACAAAAGAGGAAAATGCAACCGAAGCTGAGATGTGGTTCTGCGCAGAATCTGATGCAGAGAGAGCTGTTTTGGAGAAGCAGCATGGCACCCATTTTTCCGAGTTGCATCGCCTACACTACTTTGATCCCGTCTGATGCACGATTGTTGATCCCATGCACAATTTGTTTCTTGGGACAGCAAAGCGTATGATCAGTGTTTGGAAAGACCTGAGGTATCTCCCAACTGCTGTTCTCGTCCGTATGCAACGTCTTGCCGATGGTATTCTTGTTCCTCCTGGGTATGCCGTTTTATTAACAAAGATCGAATCTGGTTTCCCATATATGAAGGCAGACGAGTGGCGATCATGGTGTCTGATTTATTCATTGGTGGTACTAAAAGACGCTTTGCCTGAAGACGACTACAAAAACTGGACTCTCTTTGTAAAAGCATGCCAAAAGTTGACCAGTCCTTCAGTCACATATTCAGAAATTGACAGCGCACATCAGCTCCTTGGAGAATTCGGAAAAGAGTGTGAGACTCTTTATGGAGAGAGCAGCATCACGCCAAATATGCACTTGCATATGCACTTGCGTGAGTCAATGCTTAACTTTGATCTGGTATACGCATTCTGGCTGTATAGCTTCGAGAGATACAACGGCAAGTTGAAGAACATCAAGACGAACCGTCGCAATGGTCTTGAGGTCACCTTCATGAGAGTCTTCCTGGAGAAAGCATTCATTGGTAGCTTTCTTCGAGCGTATTCTACCAATCTTTCATCACCACTGATAGAGTTCCTTGAGGGGGTTGCCCAAGTAAAATCAAATTCCGACAGCTCTTCTCCCTTGAATTTGGATGCTGGCCACCCTCCTGCGTTGCCATTTAGCTTAGCAATGTTCCAGCAAGCTGCTACAAATCCATGGTACAATGTCACCGGAAGTGAGGCCTTGCCCCCGACCACATTGCCAATCAAGTTGCAGCCTTTGACTATGATGAAGGATGATCACTATCAGTGGTTATTTGAATTCTATGTCAAGGCTTACCAGAGTACAAGTGTTTCCTTCTGTGTGGTAGGGAGAATCCCAATTGATGAGAATGTATTTGTGAACAATCGGATTCAAAAGGTGAAGAAGATTTTGTTGCTGGGGCAAGAGTACTGCAGTGGTGAAAAGAAGAAGCGCGGGTCTTTTGTGAGGGTATTGTTTCTTGAGAGAACAAATGACGATGTATCTGAATTCCCTGGTCAAATAGAGTATTTATTTACTCATACCATCAAGATCAGTGGAGTCAAAAGAGTGTCAACGTTCACATTCATTAAATGGTTTCCCGCCTACCATTCAAGTAGTCATCAGCCATTAGCTGATCAAGGTCTGCAGTTGTGGGACAAGGGATTTATGGAAGAAGATGCTTCGTGCATTGTTCCAGTGCATCGTCTGCATTCGTGCTTTGCGTTGACTACGCATAAAATGCAGAGTGGGATGCAAAAGCACCTGGTTATTCCACTGCCTAGAAAAGTAGTCACATAAAAAAATAAATAACAACTATTTAGGTTACCAGTATAAATAATTATAATACAAGTTTTTTTGACTGTAAAAAGGTTTAGCTTTATTTATCTCTGTATTCTTATTTAGTTTTAACATTACTTCTTTATTAAGTATTTAAAAGAGCAATAGTAAATTATATTACCAGTTTTTTTTAACTATTAACAAATAGTAAAAACCATTATTTATTTCTCTTGCTTTTATCAATAATATAAAAGACAAAAAAACTTGTATATTTAATACCCGACATTTACCATTTTCTTTGCCTTTATTACATATTCTTGCTAATATTGGTATTATAATTTCCAATAAAAAAAAACGAGGATAAAACAATCAGGGTTATATAATTAAATAATTGCTTTGTATATATATTTTTTTTTATTAATTGGCTTTAAAATAAAATAAAATAAAATAAAATAAAATAATAATTTATTATTTTGATTTTTGATTTTGTCTTTTTCTTTTTCCTTTTATTTATATATTAATTGCTTCTCATCTTGACAATACCGCCTGATTATATTTTACCACTTCACCCCACATCATTCAACATAATCAATAAAAATTATTAAAGTACTATATGCACTTTGTAAACAAAATAACGATTTATTGTTGGCGTGTGTGAATCCAAGCAGCAACACGTACCTTTTTCTCATTCGATAACTTGGTGTTTCTCAAAATAATTGGATAGACAGAATTGCCAATGACGTCTGGTCCCTTGTTAGCAAGTCTCTGTTTCTTCAAAACAGTAAAGTATTCATCCACCTGCATTATAATATAAATACTTTTGAGTTAGAAGTATTAAAAAAATAACTTTTATCATGAGAGCCTTACCAAGGGATGTCTACTTCTAGGAGTATATCTAGTTTTATTTTTCTCCTCATCTGACTCAATATCAGACAACATGTCATAGTCCAGAAGGTCAATGACAGTCTCACCAAACTTAGACTCAAGGTTTGCCTTGTCAGCTAAGTGAATTGCCTTGTAGTCTGCAAGAATCTGAAAAAAAAAGTTAAAATAGTTTACATAAAAACTGTTGACTATACTTACGTTTCTCTTTCTGGACCGGCATCGAGAAATCTGATTTTGTTGAGCTATCTTTTCTGGCAAAGCTTTTGCCCTTTGAAGCATATACGAAATATGTCTTCGGGTTTTCTCTTCCACAACTGCAGACGAAACAGACTTTACTTCAGCTTGCTGATGTGTGTAGCTCTGCACTACATCAGCAATGGGATGGTTGGATGTCGAGAAGGCGCCCTCATTGACTGTCAATGGCATTGTTGCCAGAACTGCTCGTGTTTGAGAACGGATCAATCTCTGCAAAATATAATGTAAGTAACTTTGCAATATTCTATTACTAGTATATATCCTACCGAAACCGTTGGAAGGTGGTACTTTATATATTCTCCTGTAGTAAGAGCCTGACCGATGGGACTATGGTTCGAATTGTTATTCTGGCCATTGGTTGCTCCCATGTTGTGGTAGACCTTCTCCAGAAGTGAATGAGATTCATTCAGTCGGGTGCTCATGGTGGACAAAGTGGACAGGACAGTACCATCTAGCTCTGCGCTAACTGTCAAGCTGGGAAGAATTTCCCGTTGTCTTGTGCTTGCTGCTGTCCCAGCGGTTTGTTGAACAGACTTTTTTGTAGTCGTCTTTTTCGTTTTTTTGGATTGCTGCGTATTAGAAGACATGAATTGAGATATTTAAGGCTAATGAAAGAAATGGAAACAATGTGAATACTTTAATAATTAGAGTCGGGTTTCTTTAAAATAATAAAATAAATCAAAACATACGTAAAGGTGGAAAGTAAGGCACCAAAAGATTATTTTTCTGATGATGCTCTTTATAGCATTTTGCTCTCTATATTATACTTTTCTTTATAAGCCGACTTGGAAAGGCATTTGTAATAGCTTACATCCATTACAAAGATGTGAGAGATTATGGTTTAGTACGTAATGTCTTGTCTCAATCGGGATGGGTTGAATGACTTTCAATTTGCTCCATTGATTCTATCAGTTTCTCAGGGTCAACAGTCATAAAATTATAATTTTGAATTTCCCCCGTTTTTTTTTTAATTTTTTCTTTCTTCTTCTTTACTTCTTTCTTAATGTCTAACATGGGAAGCATCAACTCACATCAAAGTTTCAAGACCTAATCATCTTGTTGTTTTTATTCTAGCATGATACACTATGCTTTAAACCACCAAGTCCTTCTTAACTGCCTCAAAAATAATGATAAAAAGGTAATAAAAATATACTTGAATATTTATTCACGATTTATGTATTAATTATTCTGCTTAGATTTTTCTGGCCCGTTAACAAAGACATATACCTTGGGAGGGTTTACAAAATGGTATGTTGTATAAATATTAACGTGCACCTTCAAGATACAACTTGTATTTATTATTTTTCTTATGTATACCATACACTCTATAGTCACTGGTCTTTACCTCGGCCCTCTTTTTTTGATTATACACCGACTCTTATTCTCTACAGGCAGACAAGTAAGTAAATAATCATTCTACTTCTTTGTATGTAATTCTAATGAAAAGAAATTATTTTATAGATAATATCTCCATTTCCCGCATGCTGCATCTTCTATTATATTGAATAATTGGTAAGCAAAAAATAGTCTGATACTCTTTATTTCATTCTAATAAAAGATTATATTTTATAGACAATGTCATTGTATTTTGTGTTTGTCAACTCTTCTGTTTTCTGAACTGTCTAGTAAGCAAACCATAGTCTTATTTACTTTGCATCGTATTAACAAAAGTTATTATTTTTATAGACAATATTACTATAATTGAGACATTTAACTAAAACGTTGATATATCTATCTTTATGTTAAAGACATCCATCTGTTCTCGTGTTTAACTTTATTGTAAGTACATTCATATTTTTTAAATAATCTGTCGCTCTCAAATAAATATACCTAGAACATTCTTTCTAATCCACCCTATAATTATTTTTTATAAAAGTAAACAAACAGGCCAAGAAGGCGTGCCGCAGCAAGCAATGGAATACAGTAGGGGTCGATTGCACCAGGGGTGGACCAATGGATGTTAGAAAGGAATAACATAGTATCCACTAAAATAAATGACGGCATCGAGTGTGATGTTTCTACCCAATTGCAACAGAAGACGATTAGTGATGTAGACGAATAGAAACAGCTAGAAACAATAAGAAAATTTTTTCAAACCAATAAAAACCTTTAAAATGACCCATAAACCTCTAAAACTTGACTAAATCTTGACCAAATCTTGACCAAATCTCTTCTTTAACAACCCATATATAGTAATAAAAAGATGTTGAATGTTATGTGCTGTATTTAAAAAAAAACCCAAAACCAATATAAAATGAAAAATCTGCAGTCTGATAAAAGTGCGTCTATATTTTCACGACCAAAATATATCACATAAAAGTATATCACACTTTTTCTTTTTGCATTCCTAAAATTCAGTATACTAATTGTATTCATTTAGCTCACGAATTTTAAAAAATTGGCATCATAAATTCCGATTGAATTCATGCTGAATTTTATTCATTCAGACAGTATTTGGTCAAGATTTAGTATACTGAATTGGCCCTCCTTTTGCAGTGATCACTGGCACTCTGTCCACCCAACAGAGAATTTGTGATTTCTGGCCAAGTGGGATTGCAGGTAAAGGTCACAAAGAGATCTGGCTTGCCAAAGTGGCGCACAATGTCCATAGCATCTTGGTAAAATTCATGCATACATTGTGGGCTGCCAAGGAAGGAGGAAGGAAGAATCACTCGCTGACCAAGATTTGCCATATCATTGTCATTGAGGTGGACTGCATTCTGGATATCACTGTAAAGTTCTGCACGCATCTTTTTTTGGTTCAGAACATAATATTCAAGACGGCTATGTTCAATCTTGGCATATATATCGACAATATACTGTTAAAAAAGATGGCCAAAACGGTGGAGGAGGTGCATAGAGTTGGGATGGTATATGAGACGGTCAGCGTACCAGTCCATGGTGGAGATCTTTGACCCTGTTGGAGTATATCTATCGACGGTCCAGCCAAAATCACCAGAAGAGAAGAGTAGGACATACTGCAAAGCATCATAGTTGCGGTGATACTCATTGATCTTGTGGAGATAGTTTGTCTGGGTATGCAGAATGATGTCTCTTGCCTCATTATGCTCAGTATCACTCATCAACACTGCCACTTCCTCAACAATGGGAGAATTGTACCATCACTAGTCTGCTGGGCCAGACTCTGCCAGGCAAAAGGTCATGTTGGCTGTTCCACCATTATCCCGTGCGACTTGATGCATAGAACAGAAGAGGGAAACAAATGGATTAACCTACATGAGAATGGCTTGAATCTTTTCCAAGATTACCCTGTCTAATTCCGGGGCATTGCAATGTCTATGGTCGACCTGAGAGGCTGGGTCAAATATATAAACCTGGGCAAACTTGGGCTGATCCATCTGAGTCTGGGTCGTTGGAAAGACTGACCCAATCTTGTGGCAGATGGTCCCATGGATCTGGAAGTTGTATACACCACCGATATTGTTGGCAACAGACTGATCAATGTTCTCCTATGGAAGTGAAACTCATTGTGCTGTTGTACGGTCTGATCTTTTCGAAGAAAGCTTTTCCAGCAGGAGTGTTGTGTACCAAAAGTTCTGCAATTCCAGGAGGGGTGGGTTCAAAGGGAGGAAGAATGACAGTCCCGAGTCTGCAGCACATAGAGAACTTGATGTTGTTTGCCTTGAATGTGTAGTTTTTCTCATGAATCTACATTAGGGCTTCACAGAATTGGTATTGTACATTCATGGCACCTCTGTTGTCAGTTGGAGGTAATGAGGTGGTGGTACGCCAGGCCATGTTATGAGTGACAGCTAACTGGCCAGGAACAAAAGTGTGGTGCCATCTGTTGTAAGGACACTGCAAGCTGTTACTCCATAGGTGGCCAATTGCATTACAGCTGGAACAGTGGGGAATAACAGTGACAGTGGTAATGGCAGTGGTGGTTGTCAAATTCAAGACTCTCTCAAAAGCAGCAGTTAGATCTACAATAAAAATAGTATAGAATAATTAATAATTATGGCAATTGATATATAATTTTAAAAAGTATCTCTGCTGCTCTCTGCAATATATTGTTCTGTAAAGGAGAGGTCAATTGACATTGGTTGTGTTGGTACAACAGAATCCTGGACAGCTTCAACTCTTGGTCTTGAAGCAGCAGCTGAATAGAGAAATATATAGAGTAGAAACAATTACTAGAATTTTTGCTGAATATTAATCAATTTTGCTCCATTTATTTATCTCGGCTACTCTCTGCAGAATATTGGTCAGCACGGAAGAGAGCAATTATTTCTGCTATGGTAAGAACCACATGATTCTGAACAGTTTCCACCTTTGGTCTCAAAGCACCAGCTAAATAATCATATAAATGCAGATGATAGCAAATAAGTTAGAAATTATGCAAGTCAATCCAATGGATTAAAGTAATCTGTTGTAATATTACCTCTACTACTCTCAGTCTGATATTCTTCTTGGGTAGAGAGATTATCGCTGGTTCTCTTTTGGGAGATCAAGAGAGTTTTGTTTCTTGGGTTCAAAGGGAAGGATAAATTTGATCTCCTGCTGTGACCCAATTGTTTACATGAAGCACAAACTGGTCCAACAGGAGTCATATTGATATTTGATAAATTGTAATTGGTTTTGCAATTAAGGTGGGGATAGAGAAATAGTAAAGAGTATATGTAAGATTATTATTTTTCTGAAAGACATGAACTTTACCAACACCCTATATATACTCTTTTTCAAAATAACAATTATACTAATAATGACAGACTTGTCATAATTTAAAATAGATTTGAATCATATGCAAATCAACAATGTGCTGAAGTAATATGATAATTAGAATAAATTCAAAAGAATATCTTCTTCAAGTAATATTGAATAATAGAGTAAAATTCATGTGTCAAGGCACAGTAAGATGGCTTCTTCAAGTAATAGTAGCTAAATCAAGTAGAATATAGCTGTAAAAGTTCATTAGAATGTCTTGTTACAGTAATAAAAGTAAGGTGACAAAAGGAACAGTCAGTTGTCAAAGTAGCGTGAGTTAACCTTTTGTAATTAATATGTGTATCGAATTATAAATGCTGTGGAAAGTGCACGGTTCAGTATAGCCTCTTGGAATTACCATGTGTATCGAATTACAAATGCTGCAGAAAGTGCACGGTTCAGTATAGCCTCTTGGAGTTACCATGTGTATCGAATTACAAATGCTGCGAAAAGTGCACAGTTCAATATAGCTTCTTGAAATAACAGTATATATAAATTCTTAAATATCCAATTGTCAATGCAAAATCATATGTTTCATTTTACTTTATCAGCTATTATTATAAAATGTAGTATATAATATTAATGATCTTTGCTTTTAAATTAAAAAGTAGTAATAGCTAACACATTTTTCTTTTTTTGTTGTTAATTAATCCAAATCCAGGTATCAGGACTCAGCACAATTGTAACATACAAATGAATCATTATTTTTATTTTTATTTTATTTATTATTTATATTGAATAGCTTTTGGTATTAACTCCAGTGATATATATATATATTCTCTTTATTCTTTAGATTGATATATTTTTATTACAATTACAATACAATTAAAAATGATCTGATTTTTATTTATTTATATATAATTTATAAGTATAATAATAATAATAGTTGGTAGTAATAAGAAAAAAAAATAATTTTCAAAGATGTTCAAAGCAAACAGTGATTTAATAGTAAACACATTTTGTTATATAGACATGATTTACATTAAAATAGAGATTTATCAATAATTAAGATATTGAATACAATTAAAAGATGATTAGATTCTATATAACTCATGTGCAGAGTATCTTTCTTTCTTTTTAATGGTTTGAACGTAAGTCATGTGATTAATAACTTCTTTTCTTTTTAACTGTTTGAACATAAGTCATGTGATTTAGTAACTTCCTATGTTCTTAGTGATTTAAAAGTGCGAACGTAAGTCACGTGCAGAGATATCTCTCTAGGATATTATATAATTTGATGATATGATTCACAATCCCTGAGCACTCTTTCCTAATCCAAGATCATACATAGTAGAAGATATGTTTTTAAAAATACATAATTATTTACACTATATCTAAACTTGTACATATGTAATGATATCAGATTCAGCATATTCAATTTTTAAGCATTGCATGATTTCATATAGCCATTCAACAACTGTTGGACATGTGTGAAGTCTACAGGTACTCCTGAGTAGGCGGAATATCAATGTTATAAAAGAGTGTAACTGGACTCAAAGGCATACAATTAAATTATTGAAACAAATAAGACAGTCTTTAGATTAAAATATATATAAAGGGAGCAAAAGATCACAATGTTTTGATTCTTTCTCAATTTTCATAATAAAAGAAGTTTCACTGTACTTTCCAAGTCTCTTCTTTTATTTAGATTTTTACATTTTTTACAGTGAATTCTTTCCTAAATTTTTTTAATCCATTGCAAACAATGTCTACCCACCTCCAACACCACTATGTCTTTGCCTCGCAAAAGAACGGAAGCATCCATCAAGGACATGCAAGAGAAGGTAGCATGTTTATGCAATGAACTAGCTGAGTCCAGTGACACTGCACCCAAAGACGTCAAGGATGTTCTGAACAAGGCAATCAACACTACCAAGGAAGACCTGGCCATTATGCAGAACGTGCTGAAGCAGATCTTGTTCAGCCAAGCTACCAACAGTTCCAAGAGATCTTCTGGTTCAAACTTTGTCCCCAGTAACCTACTAATGATTTAGTAGACTGACCATGAGTGGGACTCCAAGGAGAAGGTCTATGCCACTGCCAAGGAATGTCTGGATTACTTTGAAGTGATTATCCAGTCACATAGTCAGAATATAGACAACAACTGGCACTGTCTCCTGCCTCACGTCCTCTCCCTGGAGCAAAGAGCATGGTTTCATGACAACCATTGTGACTCCGTCAACTTGCCCTGGTCCCTGGTCAGAAATGATCTCATAGGGATCAACAGTGCAAATAATGTCGAGTGCCAAGTCTATCACCTGCAAGAGCTAATGACCCTTCAGATGAAGGAAACCAAATCTGTGTCACAATACACAGACAGGTTTCAACGTGCCCGTCGCAGTACACAGATAGATGACTGTTTGATAATAGCTATACATTACACTAACACTTTGCTTTCTCGTCTCTCTAGACATGTCTACTTGACTCAGATAAATCTATTTACCAAGAAAAGAGACATGATCATATATGCTGCACAGATTGCTTGCTCAATCTATAGCATAGTCATCAAACGCAAGGATTTCCATACAATCCTTCCCCGTAGACACAACAGTTTACACACAAGAAGCCACCACGCTTCTTCTAGCATATCTTCTCGCAGATATAGGCAGGAGTCAGACTCTCATCGTGTCATTCAACAAAGTCATTGCCCAGTGCACATGTCTGAATTGACAGGTCGATTTCATGGTACATGTAATCATGATACTGCTAACTGCTGTGCTGCCAAAGACATCATTGCAGAGCACCAAGCCACAGCAAAGGTAGAGCAGAAGACTGCCAACTCTGCTTGCCATGCCAATCCCTGCTGCCACTGTGGACAGAACTGGTTCTATGGGCACCATTGTCACAGCAAGTTCTCTGATAGCAGCACCACCAACAAGGATAAAGCACCCTATATGGTGGTCTGATCCATTCAGACCTCTGACAGCTCGGCACCCTCGTCCCCAGCCACCTCCATCAGCGCCACCAGCAACAGTAGTGATGTAACAGACAGCCTTGAAGACAGTCTGTTAGACACAGACTTGGACTTATCTTTCTACAACAGCTATAAGTACACTGACAAATACACAGATCAATCTAAACATTTCACTCACTCCCACTTTGTTCCTATCACTTTAGAAGGATAGTGGTTATGGGCCTTGGTAGACACAAGAGCAACGATCAGCTCCGTCAACACCAACACTTGTACCAAATTCGGTTGGAAGGTTTTGCCACATGTGAGTCAAATTGTTCTGGTCACAAACAATGCAACTGCCCATAGAATAGAAGTTACTTTATCAATAAATGTTTTTTACAACTCCAAATCTCTTGTTCATTCTTTTGAAGTACTTAATCTTTCAGAATATGTTGATATTAGTACTGGAACAGACTTAATGTCTCAATTGGGAATATATCTACTGAGTTTAGCTGATTCATAGCATAAGTTTAATACACCCTAAAAACCATAGCCCATAGATGAGCAAACTAAGCCAAATGAGTCACCAGCAGGCACCCCTGCAGAACAACAATATTATATGACTCAACTAAAATCATATATTGAAGCCAATGCAGCAATTCCTATACCTTCATTTTGTACCATGAAAGAGTCTATTGTTTGTTTAGAAACACCACCAGGACAGGTGGTTTACCGCAGACAGTATTTTATAGCACTAGATTTAGTATCTTTAATGGCCAAACGCATTGAACAATGGTTAGCTGATGGCACCATTTAAACTGCACCAGTCAACACAAGATGGAATAGCCCTCTAACTTTCGCACCAAAGAAAGACGAATTTGGCAATCCTACAGGCAAACGGCCCTGTTTAGACCCTCAAGCCATCAAAAACTTGTTACTAGATGACCACTTTCCTCTTCCTCTTATCAGTGGTCTCTTCTTAGAGTTGTTGGAAGCATCTGTTTTTATCACACTAGATTTGAAGAGTGCTTTTCACAGATTTCAAATACATCAGGAGGATAGGCACAAAACCACTTTCACCTTTGATAAAATTCAATACATGTTTCGTGGATGCCCCTTTGGTCTCAAACCACTCTCATCCAAATTTCAAAGAGTGGTCAACCAGCTCTACAGGAACACACCCTATGTCACAGCTTTTGTTAATGATATTGTTGTATTCTCATCTAATATGACAGACCATGTCAAACATGTGCAAGCTGTCATACAAAAACTGATTGATGTTAAACTTATACTGAACTCACAGAAATGCTATTTTGCTCAAACATCTGTATCTTTATTGAGTTTTACAGTTAGCACTCAAGGCATTGACCTTGACTCTTGAAAGGTACACAACACACAAAATTAGCCTACATCTAAAACAGGAAAAGATATACAACGTTTTCTTGGCCTAGTCAGCTACTTTAGAAAACACATCCCTAATCTCTCATGCTTGTCATCGCTGTTAGACAAATTGCGCAGTGCAGATTCTCTGCATTCACTATGGACCAATGAGCACACTACTGCTTTCAATAGTCTGAAACAAGCACTTACGCATGCACTTGTACTCAGCCACCCCGATATTTGGCAACCATTTTTAGTGGCTACTGATGCATCTAATACAAGTATTGGTGCAGTACTATATCAAATTATTGACAATCAATACCACTACATTGGGTTTATGGCCCGTTCACTATCACAGTCAGAACGCAACTATGCAGTAACCAAATAAGAGTTGCTTGGCATTGTATATGCACTTACCAAATTTCAAAGTTTTTTATGGGGACAACGCTTTACATTATACACGGATCACAAAGCTCTCACATATTTACACACAGAAGAACAAGCCAATCCCATGATGATTAACTGGCTTGACACTCTCTGTGATTATACTTACAATATTGTGCACCACCCTGGCATCGACAACATATTACCAGATGTTCTTTTGCAACTTTTCACTTCGGAAAAACCACTAGAAGGGGATAAATTAGTAGTTAACACTACCAAACATCTACCACACGTGTCCACAAAACTTACAGCGGTACACATGAATAAACCATTGGAAATGATGATACCACCACAAGAGAAGAGGTAGCAATTACTAGATAATGCACATCTAATGGGCCATTTTGGCACAGATACAATTGTAGCTACCCTACACAGTGATAAAATACACTGGGTCAATCTGAAACAAGATGTGGCAAAAACAGTTCAGAGCTGTATAGATTGCCAAAGATTTAATATAATTAAACATGAGTACCACCCATTAAAACCAATCTTGGCAGACAGGCCAGGAGATCACTGGTCAATAAACTTAGCAGGACCTTATCCAACATCGCATAAAGGAAACCATTACATCTTGGTAATGGGAGATATATTCTCTTGATTCTGTGTCCTGAGAGAAATACCGGACAAAATGTCAATCACAATTGCCACGCAATTAGTACAGATATTCTGCAACTATGGATTACCCAAAGTACTTCAGTCAGACAATGGCACAGAATTTGTGAACGAATTAGTGAAACTGTTCATGCAAAATAGAGGAATTGATCATAGACTAGTCATACCCTACCACACATGTGCAAATGGTATCGCCAAAAAATGGGTACACACGACTAAGCAAGTAATTCACAAATAATTACATGAAGCTAAGAAGGATTGGGACTTATATGTTTCTAGCACACAACTTGCTATCAATAGCTAACTTGCCACACTACATGGTTCAAGACTATTTGCTCTTATGTTTGCAAGGGAGCCCAATGGTCTCAAAGACTATCAAAAACAAAGAAGCCACACTGCAACAAATAATGTAAAGACACTTGAGAAAAGAATAGAAGAAATAAAAAAAATTGTCTTCCCAGCTATAAGAGAACACATTAAAGCAGTGCAGGCGACAGGCAAAGGAAAATTCAATGATAACTATAACATCATTCATGAATTCCCAAATGAAAGCAGTGTCATAATAAAAAACATATTGTGCAAATGCAAAACAGATCTTAGATATGAAGAACCATTTACAATCAAAGGTAAAACTAAAGAAGGAAGCTACGTGCTAGTGGATGAAACAGGCGCATTACTATCACGCAATATCCCACCATCACAAATCAAACTAATCTCCCAAGACACAGTTACTTCAACTGACAGTTTTTATGAAATACAGGCAATAATAGATCACTGCAAAGAACAAGGAAGCTATGTATACAGAGTATGATAGAAGAATTACACATCAGAACATGACACGTGAGAACCCACAAGTAATTTTAATGACCTAAGCATTATTAAAAAATATTGGCAAAGACAAGAACAGAATACATCCCGCAGTATATTGCCAGTCAAAAAAACGAGTCAAATAACAAACTTGACAGGTGTCCAAAAGTACCAACGCAAATAAAGATCTCTGTCTGGTCAACAGCAACAAGACGTATCATCCAATAAAAAAAAACAGCTGTTCCAACCTGGAAGTGAGTAATGTGAAGTCCACAGATACTTCTGAGTAGGCGGAATATCAATGTTATAGAAGAGTGTAACTGGACCCAAAGGCACACAATTAAATTATTGAAACAAATAAGACAGTCCTTAGATTAAAATGTATATAAAGGAAGTAAAAGATCACAATGTTTTGATTCTCTCTCAATTTTCATAATAAAAGAAGTTTCATTGTACTTTCCAAGTCTCTTCTTTTATTTAGATTATTACAATGTGAAAAGCACTTTAACAAGATACAATTGCCTACCAGATTCGCTATTGAGAATGCATTTGCATTGCTTGTAATCAGGTGGCAGTTTATGTTTAAGCATCTGTATGTTCTTACCACAGAAAGAATGTGTGAAGTCATAACAGTATGTTGTATCTTGTATAATCTGTGTATTATGTATGGAGACAGCCAGAAGTATCTTGCTGATATGTTGCAACAAGACATTGACAATTCCCAATATGAAGAACCTGCAATGTATGGATTTGCTCGTACCAATAACATGGATGATACAACTTTAGATATTGTAAACAATGATAATTGTGACGACGATGGCTCTGATGATGATGATGATGCTACCATTATGCCAGTACTCTCTACACAATCAAGAGCTAGACTTAGTACAGAGAGAAAACTTAGAAGAAATGAAGAGAAAGATTCTTTATATATTGTCTCATATAACATTTATATATTTTCTTTAAAATAGGTTTTAAATTGGATCAAAATGATTTGAAAAGCTATGCTTTTATATTGTTAATGAGTTAAATAAGAGGTAATTAATGATGAATATATTATTATATAAGAAAAAGCAAGAAAAAATAGATGATTTTATTAATTTCACTCATTTATATGAGTGAGGGAAGATAATGGACTTCTTGATCTTTTACATCTAGAAAATATTTCTAATAGAGACCTTCTTAACTCTTCCTCTCTCTCATCAGCTATAACTCGTCTATTATATTCACATGTTGCAATCAGCTCTCTACTCTCCCAATCCAAACGTCTTGCTTCTTGAGGTGCTGTCACATCCAGTCTATACTGCTGAAGAGTATCTTCATATAGCTCTTCAAATATTTGGTACCTGGTACTGAGAAGCTTGTGCATGGATGCCATGATGTCATTTTGGCTTCTTGAGTTTTTCAGGAAGGCTTGCTGGAGCTCAGATGGCATGGTTCTTCTGGTCCCAGTTGTCAACACTGGTTCTGTGTCTTGTCTTGGGGATTGGACAGGATTGGGAGTGCTGTAAGATCACTGGCTCATCTCAGACCATCCCTCTAAGACAAAAGAAGGGGTTGTCAATTGGGTGCTCTTGTAAGTAATACCATCATAATAGCAGATGCTGATCACGGCTTCAGCAACAACTTCGTCAACAACATGGTCTGTCTCCATCAACATGGATGGGAAGAAACTAGGGTCGCTCAAAGTAATTTCCTTCATATTGTCAAAGTGGATGTACCTTTCTTGAGGAGGAAGTTCACCAGATCCAGTTTTTCTGATTTCCGCAGTAATCTTTCGGAAATCCTTCTTGATTGACTAGAACTTGTCTTTTATATATTTGATAGCTCTATATTTACTAGCAGACCCAGCATTGAGAGGAGATGCTGCATAACAGACAACATCTGGATGATTACAGAAATCATTGTGAAGTTTCTGCCATAGTCTTGTCTTTCCAGAGTTATCTAAGATGGCATGCTTTGCATAAAATCTGGTGTCAATTATCAGGCAAAGAAGGACTTTAATAATATTGTCGTTTCAGGCAGATGGACAACCAACAGTTTGGGTTCTTCCTGATTAAGAAACTTCTTGAAAAATAATTATTTCTTGCAAAGGAATCATATTCAACACATTTTGGTAAATGTAGTTGGTGTTGGTAAAGGTAGGGTTCATTGTTGATAGGATATTTGTTTTAAAAAAGAGAGTTGTTATGTAAATATTACAGGAACAAAGGCAAAAGACATATTAAAATATTTATTAAATAATAAAGTATTTGAAAGCGAGCAGTTATTTTAGTAAACTATAATTGGTTCTATTATTTTCATTTATATCAACGCCTCTTGAATATAGTTTTGCCAAGTAGTTTCCTGAGGTTTTGTACCAATTAAATTAGATATTTCACGTTAGTTTTAGGAGTGAAATCTATGGCTGCGTATTATGATTATTATAAAAAGCAGTCTCTCTACTTTATTTGTACTTTCCCATTTTTTTCTTATAGCCAAAATAATTATACTGAGATCGCTGAAGAGCACCTTAAGAGCATAGAAAAATATAAAAATATAAAATTAATTATAATTATAATATAAATATTTATAAGTCTTTGTACTAAACATAAATTAAAAATTAAAAATAAATAAATAAATAAATAATGTTTAGCATACAAAATATCATTTAATCTAATACATAGTTAAGACAAGACATGATAAATAAGTATACAATACTTAGTCTAATTACTTTATGAGACTATTTGCACTGTGTTTTGACATCTGCAGTGCAATTTAATCTGGCAATATATTTTTATTTGGAGAAAGGCATGCATGATATCTTTTAAGGGGCCATTTTATTAAAACTGCAGAGAATTTCAAATTTCAAAGAACTTTTTACACATCTTTTAAACAATCTATAACCTCAAATTTCAATAATAATAATAATCGAAAATGTCTTCTAAGAAAAAACTTTGTGCTTCATACAAGCTTATGGGTCATAGTTGTAAATCCAGTGTCCTTTGTTCTTTGTATAAGAAACGAAATACACTTTATATCCCTCAGAAAAGAACAAATGAGAATATTTCAATTGAAGAAGAATTTCCTGCAGAGAGTAGTAGATGTAATACTAAAGAATTAAAAAAAAGAATAAGAATTATAAGAGTCTAATTCAATTGATCTACTATCTATATATTTAGCTGCTTCACCAAAAGTAAGAATAGATCCAGCTGAAGAGCAACAAATAATTGTGGACACAGTTGTTGATCCAACTATTATCCTTGCTGAAGAACCTACTAGTGAGCATGAGGAAAAAACCATGACAATAAATAAAAGCACTGCTACCTGTCATTGTTCAAGCTGTTTGGGAACAAATCATCTTTGAATAACTAATCTGATGTGTCCTAACAATATACAGATACCGGTACAAAATCAGAATCCTCAAAACCAGAACGTTGCCAACATTGCCAACATTGCCAGACTCCAAAATATCTCTGAGCCAGAAATTGATAGCGGAGGGAATATGGATGTTGCCTGTAGATTTTGTGAGCATTGATGTAGTTAACAGAGAAGGACACTGATTTGTCTATCCACAGATCGAAATTTAATATGAGCTGTGGCAAGGGAAAATATGTTCTTCCTTTTCTTGAGCTAATACCACCTGGAATTTCCGAGCTTCTAAATTACAGGACATCCAATGGGAAATATTTTCTCAATAAAATCAGAGGCTACAACAGCACCTTAAGCTTCATATTGCTGGGAGCTAAAATTGACAACTCTGTGGCAAATAACCAAGGCGGTGTGTACTGCTTCAGAATACATGGCATTATATGTCACAGAATTGGGTCTATTTGTCCATCAAGAGCCCAAGATATTGATCACCCTCAACTTGCTCAAGTATACATATATGAAGCAGCATCGCAAGCCCAGCACCATTGCCATCATGCTCCATACTTGAAAGCAGATATTCTGGAGAAAATTCAATCGATTCTCATAGAGACAAATCCTTTTGTTTCTCTGTTCAGATCAATGGATCAAGTATTACAGGAGAATGGACATGTAGAAGATGTTGCTATATGCTTAGTTACTGAAGGTCCCCAAGATTAAAAAAGATATAATGCACTAACTACTGACGAGGTTGCTATTCTAATTATGAATAATGAAAGAGGTTCTTCTAGAAACATCGTACTGCACACACAAACCAACCAGCTACAAAAAATAAATGAGTATTGTAAATCATATGATGCTCTTCATTATGCCTTGCTCTTCCCTTCTGGTAAGGACGGATAGATAATCGAATCAAAATCTTTGTCAGGAAAAACTGCTAGTGCTATCCATTGGTATTCCAACCGACTTATGTACTGCCCTGATTCTCTCCATCTCCTCCATCTCTTTGGCCGACTTTTCCAGCAATTTGTTGTAGACATATATGCAAAGATTGAACATAACAGAATAGACTTTCTTGCCAGTAATCAGAATCGCCTTCAAGTAGACCTTTACAGTGGAATACAAGATGCTATTAACCTTGAGGATAACAATTTTGCCAACATTGGAAGACGTGTCATCCTTCCTTCTACTTTTATTAGTAGCCCCCGTCACATGGGCCAGCTCTACCAGGATGCAATGAGTATTGTACGCCGTTTTGGCAAACCAGACCTTTTCATCACATTCACCTGCAATATGCATTGGCCTGGAATTACAAATGCACTTTTAGCAGGCCAAAAAGCAGCAGACAGACCAGATCTTTGCTCCTATGTTTTCAATATAAAGCTTAAAGAGCTAATGAACGACTTGACAAAGAAAGATGTTTTGGGGAAAAGTCAAAGCCTTTATATATGTCATAGAGTTTCAAAAACGAGGACTCCCCTACACACACATTCTTCTGATCCTATCTAGCCATGACAAACCAATGATAACAGAAGACTATGACCTTATAGTTTCTGCTGAATTTCCTGATCCAGTCACAAAACCCTTGGCCTATAGAACTGTCTGCCATAGTATGTTACACGGTCCATGTGGTATAGGATACCCAAAGGCACCATGCATGGAAAATAGTAAATGCAAAAAGAATTTTCCAAAAGATTTTTGTGATGAAACAGTCAATGATGGATCTGGATATCCAAAGTATAAAAGAAGAAATAATGGGATGACAGTAGTCAGAGACTCAGCATCACTGGACAACAGATAGGTAGTTCCACACAATTTATATCTGTGTACAAAATATGATGCCTACATCAATGTTGAAATCTGCACTTCTGTATCAGCTATAAAATATCTATACAAATATGTGTACAAAGGCCATGATTGAGCTATGACAAAAATTCAATCAGCCAGTACCAGTGCCACTACTACCACCAATACTAACATCAATATGACTAATATTCATCAAGAAGCTGTAAATGAAGTTAATGAGTTTCTAGATACTTGCTATGTATTGGCCTCTGAAGCATGCTGGAGAATTTTCTCATTTAAACTGCATCAAGAGCACCCAACCCACCAAAGACTGGCAATCCATCTTGAAAACTCTCAGCCAGTATATTTCTATGATTCTACAAATCGACATCAATTATCAAATGCAAACATAAACACAACATTGACAGGTTGGTTCTCATATAACACTCACAATATAACAGTACGTAAATATCTGTATATAGATTTTCTAACTCACTTCATTTAGTTAATGAAAAACAAAAAAGAACAAAACGCAAAACATTTAACAGAGGAACAATTGGCAGAATATATAACATATCTCCAAAAGACACAAAAAATATTTCTTAAGAATACGGCTTCTTAATGTTCCAGATGCTACAAGCTTCCAGAATCTTTGGACAGTAGAGGGGCAACTATATGAAACAAATCAAGCTGCGTGCCAAGCTTTAGGACTGTTAATAGATGACAAGGAATGGGAGAAATGCATGGAAGAGGCTAAATCATATGAGCTCCCATATTCATTAAGATAACTATTTGCAATTCTTTTGGTTTTCTGTGGACTATTTGATCCATTTTCTCTTTGGATTTCCCACCGAGATTCAATGATAGAAGACTTATTACATTCAGAAAGACTTCAACATCAAGACCAGTCCTTGGAGCCTACACAAGAGATGTATAACAGATGTTTGTGGGACATCAAAAGTCATCTCTCCATAAATTCGTTGTCTCTAACATCGTTCAGTGGGTTTACACTTCCACTAATACCTACATTGCCAAATCAGACAGAGCATAGACATGAATTAAGGATGTTGATATATGAACAAGAAGATCTTTGCTCCAAAGCCGCTTTGATGCCAGACCCAGACACTTTGTCTTTCAATGTTGATCAACAAATTGCATATGACAAAATCTGCAGCTCATTGAACACAGCTACTCTTGTGCTGAGACTCTTCTTTATAAACAGACCAGGTGAGACAAGTAAGACATTTGTATTTAATGCTCTTTTGTGTCATGTCTGTTTACAAGGAAAATTTACTCTTGCAGTTGCTACCAGTAGTATTGCTGCATTGCTTCTTGATGGTAGACGAACTGCACATTCAAGATTCAAGATTCCACTTGAAATACATTATAGCTCTATGTGCTCTATATCAGTCAACTCGCAAATAGTCAATTTACTCAGAGCAACTGAACTGATTATTTGAGATGAGGCGTCAATGATTAGTAAATATATATTTAACACAGTCAACTGTTTAATGCAAGACATTATGAAGGCCATAAACCCCTTACTCGAAGCAGTGCCATTTGGTAGAAAATTGGTTGTATTTGGTAGTGATTTCTGGTAGGTTCTTTCTGTAATTCTCAGAGCATCAAAAGCTTACATTGTAGAGCAATGTATAAATTAGGCCTGTGATTGGCAATGCATTACTCCATTAAAGTTGATAATCAATATGCGTATTTCCCAAGCTACTACACCAGAAGAAGCAAATGAACTCAGAGACTTTGCTGAATTTTTATCAAAAGTTGGCGAGGGTACTATTCTCAGTTCTGGCAGGGATGACACTATACCTATTTCTCAAGAAATGCTAATCTCTGGAAATAATATACTCAATCTGGCTAATGCAGTATTTTCTGATCTCAATGCAAATGCAGAAAGTGCCGATTTCCTCATGTGTCATGCAATATTTATACCCAAAAATCATGACGTTACAACAATCAATAATATACTTCTTAAAATATTCTCAGGCGCAGTCCATGAATTCAAGAGTGTTGATTGAGGCAGTAGTGAAAATGATCTATTGGCATATCCAATTGAATTTTTAAATACTATTGATCCTGAATCCCTGCCCCATCACAATCTTCACCTCAAAAAAAGATGCCCTATCATGCTTTTAAGAAACATAGATCCAAAGAATAGTCTCTGTAATGGTACACGTCTGATATGCAACTCATTTGAGTGGTTTGTCCTAAAAGCTACAATTGTAATGGGATCACATGCTGGAAAAGTTGCAATTATTCTAAACATCAAACTCAGTCTATCTGAATCAATGTCATCTATCAGTTTTCAGTGCTGTCAATTCCCTGTTCATCTAGCTTTTGCCATGACAATTAATAAATCCCAAGGACAGACCCTTGATTGTGTTGGCCTCTATCTCCCAGCACTAGTATTTGGACATGGTCAGCTTTATATTGTTCTTTCTTGGGTTCGGAAACCATCTGGAATCAAAATTATGCTTGACACTCCATATGACTCAAATATGCCACAAACTATTGTATATATTAACAATATAGTATACAAGGATGTATTATCCAGAAACTAAGCCAAAAAACTTATATCTTTGATTTATGCCTTAAATACCATAATAAAATAATTTATTCTATAGCTTCTACTCATTATATAAACACATATTGTAACAAAGATAAAATAAAATAAAAGTATTAATTGTGATATATAGTAGTTGAACTTTCTGTAGGGAAGAATTACATAAAACTTGTGGGGGGGGGGGAAGGGGCAAAAGGAGGGGGAGGGGGAGGGGAGCTCCGCTCCCTAAAAGAAGGCTAGTATTTATTTATAAGTATGATGAGGTTAATGATCGTGATATTACTACAAATATTTCTGTTATATATGCTCTATAGCCAATAAAATGTACGTGATGGCATGTTTTAACAAAAGCGTATATTATTGTACTTTAGAATGAGACAATCAATTACTGTTTAAAGAACAGCCCATTTTAACAACCGGAACAAACTATGTCATTTTGGCAGTTGGTGTAATTTGGAAAGATATATATTAAATTGTGTTCCTGAACAATTTTCTATTTTTATCAATTCTAAAGACTTAAAAGATAAAACATATACATACAATATGTCAAACAACAACAATAATTCAGAATGCAAGTGCTCTAAATACTCTTCCAATAGCATGGAATTTGTTTTGATGTCTACCTAAATGCTCAGAAGACATGCACAACAAGATATTGTGAGACAATATCAGTCGGGATCTTCTTGTAAATTCAAATTTAGAGAATATTATTAATGAGAAAATTTTGATTAAATATTTATTTTCATATAATATAGTCTTAGTTGTAGAAGTAATGTCAAATGACAATGACATGGAGATTGACTTTGAAGACAATGTTGATGGTGAAGATCAAGTTGAAGGTATGCATAGTATTTTTATTTAAGTTCTATAATCATTTATAGTATTTAATAATTTGATTCTCTTTTACCCAACAAAACAGCCAAACACCTACCTCTTTTTGACGTTAATTCTTTGTTTGATTCTGAAAGCAAAGATGAGGGTGTCATTGAAGCAACCCTTTTGGATATTTCTGGAGATAAATCTGATGATATTAGAGGTTAGTATAAAAAGTACATATAAATCAATAAAGTCAATAAGTATTGATTTTTTTTTCAAATAGAGCACTTTTCTTCATCCAATATGCCAGTCGATCCTACTCATGCTTTCATTCACTGTAGAAAATGACAGCATTTGTAATTCCGCCAATGCAGATTACTATGTAAAAAATGCATACTTGCAGATTTGCTCTAAACCAATAGGAATTTAGTATTTAGCTAATAGTGTTACCTATCTCAGCAAATAAGAAGCATATATTCTTATGATTTAAATACTATTTTAACCAATAGCTTTAGAGAATATCCTTTTTGTATTACAATAGTTTTTTATACTTTTGGGGATCAATGCCCTTATTAGGAAGTTACAGATACTCAAATTCATAAAAAAAAACTCAATTAAAAAATAGAATTCTGCTGAAATTATAGTTGAAAATTTTTATTTATTTTTATTTTTCCAAGTTGAAAATATTGGGAATAAAGAGCCTAATACGCATCTAAGTACTTAAATGACTTATAGAAACATTGCTAGCTAATTGAAAGGCACTATATAGAATAGGCAGAGAAACGGTAGCAGTAACTGATATAATTTTAATCTATACATAAAGAAAAAGAAGAAAGAAAAAAGAAAAGAGAAAAAAGAACTTTAGTATTTGTGATTTAATTTAATTTACTTTAAATGACATACCTTTGATATTGAATAAGCATGAAGAAATGCAAAGCCTTGTATTTTATGTTTTTTATACTAATAATTCTTTTATTTTGAGTATGCATACCTTTGATAGTCTAGATGATGCAAGCCTACTTATAATCGAAATGAAGTTTCATTAGTAATTAGTAATTAAAATCTTTTAACATTAATAATATCTTTTCACTGATATTTATATCTATGTAGCAGTACTGGCCTGTAACAATGGTATTTAGTATGCAGCAAAGTCAGAAAGTATCATTACTTTTATGATGATTAAAAAAATAAACAGAAAGTTAGTGTAGAGTTAAAAAGCACAATGTTTATTTTTGTAAAAAAAAATCTAAGCCCCAATACAATAGTTGAATTTTGTGATTGTAATCATGAATTTTTGCTAAGTCATTTTTCACCTTTGAGAATCCTGCTGTGATTTGGTTTAGGGATGCTTGTACTTCAGAGTGTGCCTTATAAAGATATTTTATTTTTGAAAAGGACAGAGATGATATTCCGCGCTCAATGATTTTAGCAAGCCAATAATATAACTTATACGTTTTTCATTTTCTAATATATTATCTTGAATATTCTGTGATCAAGCTTTCATTTTAACATCCATCTCAATGTGTCTAAATAGGTTTAGCAAGTCCTAAATTAGATATAGTCAATATAATTTTTACAAAGTTATACAATTTTTGCAAATGTGCAATTTTTTTTACAAGTACTTGCAGATTGTTTTCTACAGTGATTGCTTCTTTTGCTGCCTTTTACATATCCAAATACGTTGTAAATTTTGGTAGTGCTGTTCTGTTGAAGTTTCTTAATGAAGTATTGGCATACTTTGGACAGTCCTTCTGTCTTCACCTCAGTATAAACAGTGTCAACTTTATGACCAGTCTCAGTGACATGACTTGAGGCGCCTAGTGATTTGTTGCATGTAGCAATTATAACAAAGTATACAAAGTCTCCAAAGTTGTTTCAGAGTGCTGTAATTTTGAGAGACTCTCTAGTAGAGAATGTGGAAACGTTCTTTTCTTTGCAACATTAAGAGCCTTGACTATCCCCAAAAAGATCTACATATATAACTCCATAATCAAAACATTGTCATTCCTTTTTTTCTGCCCTGGATTGGAAGACACCATCAACCATTGGAGAACCAGAGTGCAAGTTCCAGGCATAATGTTTGACATCTATAACAATATGAATTGGAACAGTTTGAAGGACAGCAATGGTTTACTGTTTGTGAATCATGAGCACTCCATAATGCTTACCATGAACATTGATTGGTTTCAACCTTTTGATGGGGTCATTTACTCCTGTAGTGCAATATACATTTGCATTAACAACTTGCCAAGATCAGAATGATACAAGAAGAAGAATAATGTTCTCGTTGGTCTCATGCCAGGGCCCAAGAAAGCAAAGACAAGTGAGATCAATCACTAACTCCATCTCCTTGTCGCGGAACTTAACCAGTTATATGACAGTGTAGTGATGCCTACAGTATAGTGCCCATCTAGTAGTCTTGTCTGTGCTGCCATTCTTCTTGTTACCTGCGACATTCCTTCTGCCTGTAGGACTTGTGAGGTTATCTCTCATTCAAGCACATGTGCATGTAATAAGTGCAACCAACAGTTCCCTCGCCTTTCAGACTCTAATGATGTGAACTACTCTGGGTTTGTGTTTTCTGAGTGGGTGTCTTGCACTGATGCCAAAAACCGTCGTGATGCCAAGTTGTCAAGAATAGTCAGCAGTAATGCACAAAGAAAGAGATTGGAGAGGGAAAATGGTAACTGATAGTCAGAATTGCATGATCTGATTTACTTTAACCTCATGGAGTGAACTGTCATCAATCCAATGCACAACCTGTCCCTCAGAACAGCAAAGAGAATAATAGAGAAATGGAGATCTTCAGGTCTCATCACAGATGCACACTTGGCCAAAATGCAGTTGGATGCTGACAAGCTTGTATTGCCAGAGGACTACATGCCATTAGGAACAAAGATTGGGCTTGACTTCTCATTCATAAAGGCCAACAAGTGTGTTATATTTGTATGTGGAAAGGTGGAACGATAAGTACTTTGAGACTCTTTTTTATTGTGTTTATTAAAAGTTCAAGTCAAATCGAATTGTCTTAATAAAAGTTATTTTATCTATGATATTTATATTTATTGAGATATATCCAGTCACCCTGGATATGAGTTATTGTAATGACTTTGCGATAATAGTTTAAGTACTTCTTGAAGATGATCCAATGATGGATCTAACATATTGCTCTTATGTTTCAGATAGGACTTCATATTAGATGATCATTTATAATGACCTCTTTGACGGGTACTTCTGTTTGGGTTCGTATATGATATCAGATATTAAAGTATCCCAAATACAACAAAGTGAAAGTCTTGGTGCTTGATATACTCTTCTGTTCTCCTGTGTGGTCGTCTATTTGAAGCTTATCTTGGTAACTGGACAATGTTTGTCAATGTATGTCAGTATCTCTCAATGCCCAGCATATTTATGACTCACCTTGATGAAGCTCATCAATCTTAGAAGACTTTCTGCAAAGAGCGCAAGAAGTTATATAAAGTTCTGTTCCTTTTGCCAAACATTCATCTTCATCTTTATCTGCAAGAGACTGTATTGAACATTGGCCCAGTTTATGACAATTGGCTTTTTAGTTTCAAAAGATGCAATAATATCTTACAAAACTATGCAATGAATAGAAAAGACAGGTTTGAGAGAACCTATATGAAAAATTATCTTGAAGAAGCATACTAGGGAGATCTTATTTGCCAAACTTTGCTGATAATTTGATCTGAGCATTTGGCAATCATCCTTGAGCTCACTGCATCTACTGCCGATTATATAGTCACTTCTACTTCAACTGCCACCTCAATTCAATTCGATATCAATGCTTTTCTTGATTCTCCTGAGATCAACTTTGATATTGTCAAGGGAAACAAGCTTTGCTCCCTTCCACACTTCCTTTAGCTCTAAAGGGAGAGATTTCCAAGGATGAATCCAAGTATGAGCATTTGTTGAAATACTATCGCAAGAAATATGATGATCAAACTCTTGTTCATTATTGTCAGGCTGGTCATTCTGATAATTTTGTTAATAATTGGATACAGAAGTTTGAATCAATCAATTTTCTTGGGCAAATCTACAAGAGCAAAACAAAGAATCAGTGCAGGTCATTCATACAAGTCTTGTTTGAGACAAGTGATAGTAGAAGTATCAAGCTGTATGCAGATCAAATTCAGTACCTCTCTGTCAATACGGTTGTAAACTCGTTTGCTAGTCAGGTGAGCCAGCATATATTTGCATATGTACAATGATACAAGCAAGTTTTACTTCAGCCCAGAGCAGGAGAAGGAGTTGAGATAAATGAGGTGAGGTTCGAAGATGACAGCATGAACACCATTCTCTCAGTGCATAGAATCTGCTATCCAGTTGCAGTAGGCAAGCACCTTAGTCTAGAAGGCAAAGTTTAGATGTGTGTAGTTTCTTTGCTACAAAAAACATATATTTAGATTCAAATACAAAAATAAAACACGTATAAAAAAGAAATATTAATTAATATAGGCTGTTGTATATGAGTATTGACTACTACTGTAATTGAGAATAAGTCTGAAGGAAATAATATAAGGCCTCAGCTATTCCAGTCAAAGATGTCTACGAATTACTTTATTATTTAACACACAGGTTTATCATGCATGATAGTGATTATATTTCATATGATGATACCACCATAATATGGAATATATCAGTGAATTATTATAAGTATAATTATAACTCATAAACACATTTACTTTTAATGTTAATACTTTATTGGGACTATACACATTTATATAATTAATTATACATTAATTATCTCAAGATCACATTGCTCTGATTAAGGCTCAGATAGAACCAATTACCTGACCCCAGTCTTATAATTTTCCCAATCCAAAACAATATAAATAACAGTGGTAGTTCAGTGTAGAAACCTTGTCAAATTTTGATACCAAATCTTTTCTTAATAAACAAACCTTATACAAGTTCTCATTAATCTTCGTTTCTTAATCTAACATCTTTAATTCTTTCTCTTAAAAACTTCTTCAACTTCAACCACCACAACAGGAATATTTCTGGGCAGAAAGATTTGGATCTCTTATTGCTATTAAAGGCTCAGTTGACCAAGATCTACATGTAAACTGTTTATCCAATGACTTCAATCAATGGTACCAGAAATTAAATTAGAAATATAATATAGTATTCACCTTTCAAGAAGATAGCATCAGCTGCCATACCGGCTCTTATATAACATAGTAGAAAAATTATTGACAAATCAAGCAATTTGACTACTGGCCTTTGCAAAATCCTGATTTAAACTCAATTCAACATGTATGGAAGGCCATAGAAGACCAGATACAAAGAAAAAAGCATATATTAACAATACAAAAGATCGTAAGGTCTGCATCACAAAAGAATGAGAACAGATTAACTCAAAGTTTAGAGCTGATATTGTTGCCATCATACCTGATAGAATTAAAGCTGTAATTGCTGCTTATGGTGGAAACACCAAATATTAAACTTAAATTTTCTGTTTAATTTTATGAAATATATGCTATACTTTATTGAAATATAAAGTTTTAGTCTTTACAATGCATAGATCAAGAGATATTCATAAAATAATATGATATATATAATATCAGAGTAATAAAATACTATAAATTTTTGAAGACTTTTTTTGTATAAGTGTACAAGATATTAGTATCTCTTATCAGCAAATTGACAAGCACATATATATAAAGATTAAATTGACATTAAAAAGAACAAAGCTTGTTAAAGAGAAGAGAATTATATAAATATGATCAAAATTAGATTTAAATCTGTCAGTATACTTCAGCAGCTAGACATATCTTACAAAACAAACTGCATTTTTGTTGATGAGACTGAATTCAAGGCCAGCTTGATTTGTAAAATAGGATGATCCAAGAAATGATCAATTGTTATTGTCAAAATAAAAACCAAATAAGAATTGAATATTATAATTATTGCGACCATATAGTTTTAAGATATTAAAAATATTACTGCAAAAATGATTGCAGACAGTATAAATACATAGCTATTTTTTCAATTTATCAAGCAAATCATAGCAAGTTTAAACAGAGATAATGCTATACTTTACTACTTTATCATAAATAATATTGCTATCTATACTGCCCAGCTTGCAAATAATTACATCACTAACCATACAAAGCACAGAGTTCATTTTTTTCTGCCATACAGCCTCTTTTTGAATGTCATAGAGGAATATTTTTCGAAGCAGAAGTGTTTAGTTAGAAAACAATATGGTCTCAATGCTGATGAGCTTGTAAAACATATTAGTAATTGTAGCAAACAAATTTGTAAAGACAATTGTGAAGGTTGAGTTGATCACAGTATCAGTTTTTTTAAGTAAATGCCTGTGTAAAGAAGAAATGTACTAGCCAATTTTTTTAAAATATATTAAATCTCCTTTAAAGTGCAGACCTTCTTGCATTTAAACCAACAAAAAGCAATAAAAAAACAAGTACGCAAAATAGTAAAAAATGTTTGTGAAACATGGGTGAAACACTTTAGTAATACGTTATACACAACGAACAATTATGTTTGTAGCATAACGACGCACACAAAAACACAATCGAATTTCGATCTTGTTTGTTTTAGTAATAACCCATATACACGCATACACAAGGGTTTAAAAATCCTTTTGAATTCTGCCTTTACAATAGGTGCTTTTTAGACAATCTAACATTGCAACTCGATGTTCCATTAGACCCATCAATCAGACTTTACACTGTAGGAAAATATTGACCAGTTTTTTGAGAAAACCTGGTGACACCTGGCAGATTTTTTAATCGCCTACGTGCTTTACCATATTTAGTTTGTTTAAATTCTAATTAGGCATACTGACACTAATGTTGAAATAAAAGTTTATCACAGAAGACTATTGAAGCTATATTAAAAAGTCAAAAACTCATAAACTATATTAGAGAGCTGTTTAAAGTTGCCTTGTATCTATGCCCAAAAAAGGCACTTAAGTTGGAACATTTTTTTAAAATTTATTCTCCGATACACCATACATGTACCATCATGTTGCATCAACAATATAGCTTGTGAAAATATTATACATGAACTTCATTCTCTAACAACTTCTTTATACTCAAATTGATCATCTAAATTCAAAATAAAATGACCGATCGTTCCGAATATAACATTAGCAATCATGCCCAAGTTCATCAACAAAGGCAACAAAGGCAACAAAGATAACAATGACAACAACATCAAGAACAGCAACAGCAGCAAGAGCAACAGCAGAATGATGAAGAAACTATACCTCAAGAGATTAGAAGAGCTAGGAGAGCTAGATATAGCAAACTAAACCTAAATCTCTTGAGTGATGGTACTTGTATATATCTATTTCATTTCACTTTGGGTGAAATTGAGAGAATAATAACAGTACTCGGATTGGATCATGTGTACTGTTTTTCAAGTATACAAGTCCGTAAGAACCTTGCACTGGAAAAATTAAAAAAATAAGGTAGTTTAAATATGGGGTATAGTATAGTGTAATTTCCATATTTAAATTAGTTGATTTTTTTTTCCACTTGTGCTGAAGGTGACCTTCACAGATAGTGGAATGACTAGAGTCAACTAGCGGAATTGTGGGTGGGGGGTGCCGCAGGTAAGGTTTGTTAGCACTTTAGATATACTTATCTGACTTGATATATAAAAAGAAAGTTTTTTAAAACTGCGTATCTATTTTGATATTCTTTATATGGAACCATAAAGGTCAGGCACCGACATATTATGAAGATTAAAAGTAGCATAAAGGTGACCTTTAAGCTAGTTTATTGTTAAGAAGTTTGGTCATCAGCAGCAAAAAAAGGCGTCTTTAAAATTATGGACCAGTAATATGTTCTTTATTTATTTGGTTTCCCGTTCTTATTAGGCTGGTAATGGTTTATGCTTTTATTTTTATTGGAAAGAATAGAATGTTTCTAGGTTTCAGATCTAATAATACTATTCTATATCTCTAGCTACTTCTTGCTTGGTCGGTTTGTTATATTTGGGATGAAAAATTTTCTACAAAAAAGAAATACCTAAAAAAAAATGAGCTGCTCAATACGTTTTTTTTGGGGTACGAGCAGTACTCTTTGAGAATAGATAAATCGTTAGTGATGGGTGTGCGTGTGTGTTGGATATTTCAATTCTTATAAACCATTAATACTTATATTGGAATTATCTAGTACAAAGACCAAACAATAAAATATTACAAGTAAAGCTACGGAATTTTGATTTCTTTGACTATGAAAATGATTGGAAAAAAGTAATTTTTGTGAATTGGGCGATATAATTATTAATTTACATACCCAAAGCAAACGGATTTATTTGTAGATATAGATAATACTTATCAAAAGTCGATATAGTATCTGGTAGTTTTTTTTATTAATAAACAGTATAAGTAATATAATGATACATATAAGGATAGTAAAAGAACAAAAAAAGTCTTACCATGTCAATGACAGCAGCATGAGATAGAAGCTTTTGATTCATAGCATGTTTTAGAGAGGGTTGTTCATCTATAGTAAAAATTGGATTCAGTTTGATTAATATTAAAGAGAAATATAATAAATAAATAGATAAAAATATTACCGTGTTGGTGGTTGTGTTTAGCTGTAGAAAATATTTTGGGTGATATGTCCTATAAAAAAGAAAGGAAAAAATCAGGATACTTTTATGAGATGATGGTATGAAGTATATTTACTAACCTTGGCTAATCCGGATGGCCATTGTGAAGAGGATGCATCAGAAGGAAACTATACGCGAGTGACTATGGTAGCAGAAACACTTGTTATTACTCAGCTATATTTGAAGAAATTACTAATAAAGAAAAATAAAGAAAAAAAGTGCCTTACCAGGAACATTTGCAAGTATAAGAGTAAAAGAGAAAGAAAGAAGTAAAAAGAAAAGAGAGGGCGAGTGTCTATGGCAACTGAAACAACTAATTCTTTTTAGTTATATAAAAAAAGTACTTTAAAAAAGCAGATTAAAAAAAAAAAGACTAATAAAAAAATAAAAAAATGGGTGGAGACAGCGACGAAGAGTGTGTCTATGGCAACAGAATAAATAAATTCTTTTATTTTCTATAAAGAAGACTTTTTAGAAAGAACATGTCTTACACAAATAGTTCGCAAATATAATAGAAGTTGCAGAGATAGAGAAACAAAGAAAAGACCAATAGCAAATATAAAGAGCAAAAAAAAAGAGAAACAGGAACAACAACAAAAAAAGAAAAAAAAAGAAAAAAGAAAAGTGCGTTTGAAACAAAAGACTAGACTGGTTTGATCAATTGGGTTCTAAAGCAGTATGAAAGCCGATTTGCATCTCAGTGATTACAAGAAGTATTAATAGAGACTTATATATCAAAGATATGCTGAATATCTATATAAACCATACGTTTTATACAATTTGTTTACTCTTTCTCCTGCTTTCTTGCTACTTATTGCACTCATACTCAAACACACACATCAACCCATTTTATTTCAAATAATTTAAGTATGTAAATTTGATATAATTTATTTTTAATTCAATTCAATTCAATTGTATAATAGCATCAATAACAATGTAATGTAAAATTAACAGTTACATTTTTACCTTTTATTATATTCTGTAGACAATGGCTATTCAAAGACATCAACTTGCTCTTCGTCCCGTTGAGATTACAAACGAACAATTGATGGAAATTCTTTCTACTTTGAAAACTAATATGATAGCCATGGGAACCAACATGGCAGCTGACATGTCAATTGTACAAGAACAAATCGGCACTGTTGAAGATACATTGCTAAACATGAATAGCGGAATTGGTGTTCTTGCCACCAGCAGCACTGAGACAATCACTGCTATTGACAGTTTAAGCAGGGCCCCCCTCGTTTCCCCTACCAATACAATGGCTAATGTTTCTCAGCCTGCCTTCAACGCCCCGTCTGAGTTTAGCAAGAAGGCCTCTAATGATGTTTATGTGAGTATCAACGTGTGCAAAATTTTATTGATGTATTTTGTCATATATTCTATCAGGCCCATATTTGTAATCTCATGTGGGATCCCAAGCTGAAAACAAGAAATCAAGCTGATATCCTGGCAAATGAGAGTAAGCCCAGATGGAATACAAATGTTTTCTTTTACAAGTCGCCAAACAAGGAGTTGGTGGTGTGACTTCTTGAAAACTTGAAGTGCAAGTTTACCCATGAGGGATTTAGAGAGGCAGACTTGAGAGCAAGACTGCACAAAAACTTCACCAGCCGGGTTTCAAAAGCAAGAAAAACCAAAGAGGAAATAAAAGCAACAAACACTCATTCGAGAAGGGCAGGACGTGCCAGAGATATAAGTGTAATCTCTAAATAAATAATCTCAAAATAATATAGTTTAGTCTTGAGAATTTTAAAAATACTAATATAAAAAAACTACTATTAGAATCATACTCGCCGTTTACTTGCATACACAGACAACAAAGAAGCAATTGATCTACAAATGAAGAGAGATTGTGACTTCACAATGCAAATGGCAGCAATGTCCGATGGAGAATCTGCAGATGAAGACTTCGAGAATCGCATGAAGAGCATCGTCAAGATTGTTCGGCCAGGATGGAGAAGTGACAAGGTATATTATTTTATATTAATAATTTTGTCTTATTATAAAAAATATAAAGTGAAGTATTAACAAAATCATTTTAGTTCAATACTCTCATTAAACTCGTTGATGAGTATGTTATTGAAGCAATGGGGTCAAGTGCTTCTCAAATGAAGGAGAGGGTTTTCACCAGTGTGTCCAATACAGCAGTCCCAGATGACATAACCCCCAAATTTCCTCAGTGGGCCCTTAGAGACGGGTATTAAATAAACAAAAATTGCCTCTCTCTTTTTATCTATATATTACTTTTCACATACAAAATACTATCAATATATATATCAGAAATACGCGCTCTGTTTTTTTTGTTAAAGAAAAAAAAATGTAAAAGTTCACTTTAGTTATTATTTAAGCATATAGCTTCTTTAGCAATGGAATTACCAGCATTTTGCTAACATTTCTACTTGTCGCAATAGTAGCTGTAGCAACCTCTAATAAGATGCGATGTACAGGTATAATGCTATGGTAGCTATCTGGAGAGAACGTGGGCAAACAAAATTCAACACCATCATCCTCACGCGACCTATCAGAGGAAGTACGAAACCACTTGATAAATGCGAATACATGTTGATGATCATGAACCATGCAAGTCAGATGGAGATTGTGCATAGGTGGAAGTTGGAAGGAGTGTGTAAAAAGATACTGAATTTGTCCAGCAAATCCAAGTATAATGTTTCCATTACTACCAACAAACTTTGTCTGAACAAGTGATCCGTGACTGATTGTGCTGTTGTTTGTTCCTCAATAGTGTTGACCAAGAATGTCAATTGACTTCAATTTGATGATTTGATTGTCAAGTGCTGGGCGATTATAGGACGTGTCCTGATAGCTGGCAAGGTCTGGGAGGTTGTAAGCGACTTGGTAATATTCAAGTAAATGGAGATAGTCGGAATCATCCATTACTAATGGCTTTTTGTATTTTAGAGGAAATGTAGAAGGAGGAAGAGGCTCGTTACCCTTGGGTGGATTATAAGGATCAGTGTAGCCTTAAACGAATGCTTGCAATCTGAATGGGCGACTGGAGAGAGTGGTGACTGTGGTGGCAGGTATGGAGGTTGTAACAAGTTTAGACAGAGTGTGAATGAAGGGGAACTGGCTAGAACTTTTAAGAACAGCATTGATATAATCACCCTTATACGCATTCTGAACAAAATTTTTCATGTAGGTCGCCTCAAAACCGTCTTTGCCATTTGTCTTGAAATTCTTTAAAATACCATTGTATCGCTCAAACCCAAAGAGCTAATAACCATACACTGGTCCAAAATCACGAATGCATTCATGAAGATGGAGGTGTAGGTGCATATTGCAGGTGAGAATAGTGGCGGTATAGTCTACGTTACATGCATTGCAAAACTTTTCTAACAGGCTGTGGGCAGTGGTGATCTCATCAAAAGTAATGCTGGGCTTTACGTAGTATTGGCATGCATCAACGAAATACATCCAGTTCTTGAATTGTAATGGAGGGAGAATACCATGCAACAAGACAGGAGAATTAACCAGAACCCATGATTTCCACTCGTCCGCTTTCATGTAGCTGAAGCCCTTTCCAATTTTGGTTGTCAGTGTGGTGTAATCTCTGGGCAGTACCATTGTCTCTGCAATTTTCTCCATCGAAGCAAACTCTTCAGGTCCAATTGTCTTCTCATCAATCCACCAATCCATTAATCTCTTAGACGTCCCCAGGAAAAGATTATGCATGGGATCAATGATCGTTCCACGTACTAGATCAAAGTATCCAAGGCGTTGCAACTGCAACCATCGAACACCATTTTCGACCTCCAGCTGATGCCTTTCTGAGAGTGTACTTGCATCCTTCCACTCCTCAGCATGCAACCTGCTCTCTGCACCACTGCGGATATTCCAACGAGAATAATTGAATCCACGGAAATCAACCTGGTTGCTGCTCCCTAACCGAGTAAACTGCCAGCTGCACCTGTAACAAGCATATGTGCTGTTATGCGCTGTGAATCCACTTGTCTTTCTGGCGGCTGGGATATCACATGCAACCATCAGTAGTGCAGCACGAACACTGACACCATTTGGGAATTCGTGTGTAGGAATCCGCATGTCAACGTACAGCTGCTTCAAATCATCCACCAAGGGCTCCAAGTAACTATTGATCTCGTTGGTTTTTGGCTCCTTTGGACCAGGCATGAGACCTACAAGGATAATATTCTCTGGCTTGAATCTTTCATCACGGGGCAAGTTGTTGATGGCCAGATAGATAGCACCAGAGGAGTGAGTGACACCATCAAAGGGCTGGAACCAGTCGATGTTAAGTGTTAACATTAGTGAGCGTGGGTCCAACACAAATGATACACCATCCTTGTCCTTCAACTCCTTCCACATCGCACCATCATAGACATCGCACAGAGTATCTACCATCTTCAACTCCTTATTCCATTGACGAATCTTGGCTTCGAAACTAGGGCGATGGAAGAAAACGCTCAATGTATTTTTAATGGATTGGTAGACATATTCACGCTTTGCAACCAAGGCACCGGAAGATATGGATTTCGTCAAATTACAGTTGCATGCAGACCTGGCACCAAGTTTTGAGGAAACACATCGAGGAGGAGCAGATACGATATCCTGATATACTGTATGACAGTCTTGGCACACCACAAATTTCTTGATGCCTTTTGTAATAGCAGAAAATCCTGTCATTTTTTGTAAACCGGCAAGACTGGTTGGTAATTGAAAATCTTGGTCGTAGATTCTCAGCAGGTTGTTGATAAACTCAATCAAGACAGCAGCACCCTTATCAACAACATGACGTGAAGCAAACAGTACCGTAAAGATGGCTATGAATTGATGGACTTCATTTTTGGGCATATCAGGAGCAGCAAAAGGGTCTGTAAAAAATTAAAAAAAAATTAACACTTGATTTTTCTTTTACTCTCTTTTTCTTTTAGTTTTCTTTATGTATCTCACACTGACCTTCACTGTTGAAGTCCTCAATCTCGATCTCATTGACTTCATCTTCAACATTGTCATCGAAATCATTGTCGTCTCTGTCATTGTCAAACATTGAGGCGGCATCCAAAAAAGGTGAGTTGGCCTGACCATCCATTGCTTCCACAGAATCGGAATGAGAGGTCAGGATTACTACAAATATGGAATATAATAGTTTATTAGTTTTTTTTTCTGCTTTCAAATAAAAAAATTCTTACCCTCAGTATCTACATCCATGTTTCTCATTGCGGCTGTGTTTCATTAAAAGTTTAAAAATAAACAACATAAATAAAAAATAAAAAATAAAAAATTAAAACGATTATTACGCAGCAAACAAAAAACCAACACTGAATATATTATACTATTCTCAAATATTCTGGTACCTTCAACTCTAGCTCTCTTATTACGACGAGTCTCAGTACGCTTTGCAGCATAAGAAGATTTCTGATGACTGTTGTGACATTTAATGCAGTGACAGTCTAAGGTGTGGATTTGGGTAGAGGGAAACATATTGTGTATAGCTTGAATTATAAAATAAAAAAGGAAACAAGTACTACAAATACTTTATTTGATGTGATTTTATAGCAAGCCAAAAAAATATGAATTTTTTATTGTCTATCTAAACCAATAGAATACATCGAAAATACACCCCCAACTTAAATAAAAAAAACGGCTGAGCTGAAAAAAAACCCTGACATTTCCACTACCTTTCTCGTTACTTAAAGCTATAGTATTTTTTTTTATTTTTCCAGTGAAAGGGGCTTGCATCAGATAAAAGGATACGCCTCAAATTTAAACAGCTCTCTATTATTGGTCCAGTAAAACTAATGATTATTGAATATCTCTCTGCCATTATTTATTAAAAAATAAAAACCTTTATAAGGTATGTTTTGACGTCCAACCACTCATACGCAAAATCATAGTGCAATTCTCTAGTAGTAAAAAACAACTTAGTAGAATTTACAATGCTTTTATGCTGATATTCATTTGTTGAATTGCAGCTTAGTACTTACTTCTGAAAAAAGTAAACACTGAGTCCTATTTAACTACACTAATATTTTTTCTTTTCTTTAATGACAATTATAAAAACAATAATACTTTTAACTATGTTATATACTAAATAACATTGCTATAGAAGAATATTGCTACATAGATGTGATGATCAGTGGAAAGGTATTATTAATGTTAATAATATTATTAGTCAATTACTAATAAAACTTCATTTCGATTATAATCAGGCTTGCATCATCTAAATTATTAAAGGTATGAATATGTAAAATAAAAGTATAGGCCTAGTCTAGAAAGCATCAAATATAAAACTTTGTATTATTCTACATTCATTAAATACTGATTGTATACTATTTAAAATAAGCTCTTTCAAATTACAAACACTAAAGTCTTTCTGTCTTTCTTCTTATTTTTTTGTATAGACTAAAAGAATCTCAGTAATTTTATTGCTTCTCTGCTTCTTTTATAAAAAATTTCTTTTAAATAGTTAACAATATTGCTAAAAATTGTACAAGTACTTAGACATGTACTGTGGCTCTTTAACCTTGATATTTTCAACTTTGAAAAATGAAATAAATAAAAATCTTCCACTTTAATTTTAGCAGAATTCAATTTTTTAATCGTTTTTTTTTTCAATGAATTTGAGTATTTGTAACTTTTTAATAAGGGTATTGCTCCCCAAAAGTAGAAGAAAAACAGTGCAACAGAAAAAGGATATTCTCTAATGTTATTGGCTGACATAAGGTTTAAATCTATAAATCTAAACATTTTATTTGGTTAAATAGGTAGCACAAACAGCATATTTCTCTATTTTCATTGACTTAAACAACCTGGTCGACCTGGCAAAAGACAGTGCCTTTTGACTAGAACGGGATTATAATTTTTGTCATTTCCTACAGTGTTATACACAGATTTATAACATTTACATTAATTATATAAAATAAAATTTGAAAATAATAAAAAATCTTATATATATCAAAGATGAAAATATATGAAAGTCTATATTTTCTGGTAGATGATAAAATATTAACCAAAATAGTGACTGCCAATTCTTTTTTTTGTTTTTGAATTGTTTATTTGAAACAGATATTCTATATCCATTAAATTACGCGTTTTATTAAAATATACACTCTTACCAAATATGTCAATCAACAACACTTACTCTAATGAAATTTTTTTGCTTTGGCAACAATCTCCCAAGCCTTGGAATGCTTTTCTGTTCCAGGAGTGATGACACTTAGATTAGAAAATATTATTAGAGTAAAAACATCTGAGTGGAAAGAATGTTTAACAGAGATTGGGGAAGCTTGTACAGTCAAGTGGGTTATTCGCAACACCAATAAGCAACCCACCAACATTACTGCTGAAGACACCAAAGCAACTGGTATTAAGTTGTGTTTTTCTCAGAAGTATTCCTGTCATTGTTGGGGAACCTATGAATCTAAGACAGCTTTGCGTGTGATTCAAAAGCAAACAAAGAAAAACAAGTGTCCTGCTCTTCTTTGTGTGAAAGGATTCTTTAAGACATCTGAGTTATATGAATTTGTTGTTACAAAAGATCATGCAGAGCATACTCCTGGTGATATGCGTAGTGACATTTACATCCTTCCTCTTGCAAAGAAATATCTTCACGAGTTGGCTCAGTAATTAGAACAGTTGTCAAAATATGCTAGTCAAATTAGAATTGATATGTTGAGAGCTGTAGATCGATATGGTAGAAAGTCTGAAAGAAAAGTTAACTATTATGATATCTGGAATTCGATGAACAAAGTAAGCTTTAAAAATAATATATCTTATAGCATTTACTTTAATATATTTCTGTAATAGATCAATAAAAAGCTGTATTATTTTGACAAAGACCAAATGACTTCTTTCCTAATCTAGATGAACAACAAACTTTCTGCCTTAAGCTTCAACATATTTAAGGCAAACACTTCATATTCTCCAGATCCATTGGTCTTTGCTTATTGTTTTATGTCATCTATGCAGCAAGTGTGGTATACACATCACAATTGAGTGAAGAACAGACTTCACAATCAAACACTGGTTCCTTCTTGCTAATGAACCTGGGAAGTTTACAATCTCTGGAACTGTTGCACATCAGACACATGTACACTACACACTCATACAGTGTAAACTAACCATTACACAACAGGGATTTGAATTACAGGGACTTTAATAGTAGCAGATATAAACAATATTATTTTGTCTCTTTAATAAACAACACTCTCACAGTACCTATTGTTCTCTTTGTAAAATTTATCTAGATATCTCAGCAAGAAAAAATGAAAACCATGACTTCTTTCTGTTGGATGCTACTCATACAATCTCTAGCAATGTGAATGAAATTCTTTATACTATTTTGGTGCATAATGAAGATATTGATAGAGGATGATCTGTTACCTTTATGGTAACCAATGATTGAAGTATAAGCTCCATTGTGCAGTAGCTGCAGTTCTTAAAGACATCTTTTTTGCTTGTTGACACAAAGCAATTTACTATTAATTGTTGTACAGCAGAAGTTCACGCCATTCAGATAAGTTTCCCTGCAACACCCATTCAATTTTGCATCTTTCATATAACCCAAGCATGGAACCAAAAGTTATCTGACAGTGTGAAGATTCTTGGATCCTCATTATCAGAGGCACGAATTTTACATGGTGTGATGATGAAGTCTCTGCAAGAGATCATTTATGAAGAAGATATAGACGAGTTTCATTATAAAATTGTACAATTTAAAGAAGACTTCGACGACCAAGAAAGCTTCTTGGATTACTTTGAGAGAAACTGGTGCACAGAAGCAAAGTTTAAGATCTGGAGTAGAGCATACCATAAACGACAATTCTCCTATATGCTCACAAATAACTATATTGAGTCCTGGCACAATCAATTAAAAACAGTTTTCATGAAAAAATCTAGAAACAAGAGACTTGATAAGCTTGTTTTTGTTTTAGTACTTAATATTGAGTATTATCTCACTCAAAAATACAAACACGTCATGGCAAACAATGGTCCAATGAGTTCTTTTACTAGACAACAAAGAATACATGAGATGGAAGCTGAAGAAGTCGATGATGATGACAGAGAAATGATGATTGTTGCTCCTGGTATTGCAAAAGATGTAAATTGTCAAGTTTGGTCGTTTGTAAATGAAAATACAGCATATGTTGTTCGTTGCAGAGCCAAACATGCTTATTTCCTGTACCTGCTTTGATTATCAGCAAAGATATAAACCTTGTAAGCATATGTATTTGCTTAAAATGCATACAAACCGATCTCTCTACTTCTCTCCACCTTCTGTCACAAGTACAAACGTAATACAGCCAGTCTCTACCTATGAAACAGCTACAATCATACCAACTATCAGTCGTACATCTGCTTTTATACAGCAATGTATTGACATCTGTTGTGGTGGTTGAAGTTGAAGAAGTTTTTAAGAGGAAGAATTCAAGATTTGAAATTAGGAACGAAGATTCGTGAGAACTTTTGTAGGTTTTGTTTATTGAGAAAAGATTTTGTATCAAAGTTTGACGAGGTTCCTACACTGAACTACTACTGCTATTTATATTGTTTTGGATTGGGAAAATTATATGACTGGGGTCAGGTAATCGATCCTATCTGAGCCTTAATCAGAGCAACGTGATCTTGGGATAATTAATGTATGATTAATTATATAAATGTGTGTAGTCCCAATGAAGTATTAACATCGAAAGTAAATGTGTTTATGAGTTATAATTATGCTTATAATAATCCACTGATGTATCCCATATTATGGTGATATCATCATATGAAATATAATCACTATCATGCATGCTAAACCTGTGTGTTAAATAATAAAGTAATCGGTAGACACCTTTGACTGGAATAGCTGAGGCCTTATATTATTTCCTTCAGACTTATTCTCAATTACAGCAGTAGTCAATACTCATTTACAACAACATCAATCAAACGCTTCAGTATGCAAACCAAGATCTACTGACTATGCAACAGTATATGACTGAAGATGATGGTCAGACTTTGTTTGATGCATATCAACGCTCTTTACAAGTCTTTCAGTCTATAAAAAACAAATATGAAGTTCATCTTTGCAGATCTCATACACAAGAAAAAAATTATAACTATCTAGCTTTTTTCTCAAAGAATTGTTTTGTAAATTGAAACAACTTTCAAAACGACTTAGTAAATTATCGTGTTTTTTATTTTTTGGTAGTTGTATTTTTTGTCTTATTTTCTGGTAGATAAGCCTCAATTTCGGCTAATACTTTACCATCTACCAGAAAATATAGACATTCAAATATATCTTTAACTGGAAATAAAAAAGGAAATTAAGACCTATATATAGCATATTAAATAGAAATAATTATACTTTTACTTTTTATAAGAGTAACAGTTATGCTAATATAGTATTTTATTTTCTTTCTTCTACTTTAATACTTGCTTTTAAATTGTCTTATTTGATAGATGGCTCATAATAGCAAACAGATTTATTTAAAGGTAATAGATAATATTTGTTAAAATTCTTTGACTTATTCTGTCAGAATAATATTAATAAAATAATTAAAACTTAGAGCATCTTCAGCAGTCAGCTAACTTTTATTTTATCTGAGATCAAAAATTGTCACTTTTACATAAAAAAAGCTACCCGCCCAGCAGTTAATTTTTTCTCTAACTTTTAAATAAATTTTGAGAGTGCTTTCAGCTAGAACTTTTATATCCCTGTCAAATATAGCAACTAGATAAAATTTAGGACCATAAATTTTTCATAAAATAAAATAAAAGGAACTGCTGGAAAATTAACTTTTAGATAAAAGTCAAAATGCTGTATAAAAGTTGGGATAAAAGTTACTGCTGAAGATGCTCTTACTATTGTTTTACTTTTATAAAACCAAGCTGTGCTAGCTCTCAGAGGGTTCCCCATTGAGAAGAATAACCATACTATAGATAAAGAAAGAATAACCAATTGGCTAAAATCTATATAATTAGTATTAAATTTAATACTTTTATCAAATTATATAATATCCTAGAGAGATATCTCTGCACGTGACTTACGTTCGCACTTTTAAATCACTAAGAACATAGGAAGTTACTAAATTACATGACTTACGTTCAAACAGTTAAAAAGAAAGGAAGTTATAAATCACATGACTTATGTTCAAACCATTAAAAAAAAGAGAGATACTCTGCACATAAGTTATATAGAATCTAATCATCTTTCGATTGCATTCAATATCTTAATTATTGATAAATCTCTATTTTAATGTAAATCATGTCTATATAACAAAATGTCTTTACTATTAAATCACTATTTGCTTTGAACATCTTTAAAAATTATATTTTTTTTTCTTATTACTACCAACTATTATTATTATTATACTTATAAATTATATATAAATAAATAAAAATCAGATCATTTTTAATTGTATTGTAATCGTAATAAAAATATATCGATCTAAAGAATAAAGAGAATATATGTATATATCATTTTAGCTATTACCAAAAGCTATTCAATATAAATAATAAATAAAAATAAAATAAAAATAATGATTTATTTGTATGTTACAATTGTGCTGCGCCCCGATACATGGATTTGAATTAATTTACAACAAAAAAAAGAAAAACATGTTGGCTATTACTACTTTTTAATTTAAAAGCAAAGATCATCAATATTATATATTACATTTTATAACAATAACTGATAAAGTAAAATGAAACATATGATTGTGCATTGAAAATTGGATATTCAAGAATTTATATATACTGTTACTCTAAGAAGCTATATTGAACCATGCACTTTTTGCAGCATTTGTAACTTGATACACATGTTAATTCCAAAAGGTTAACCCACGCTACTTTGACAACTGACTGTTCCTTTTGTCATCTTACTTTTATTACTTTAACAAGACATTCTAATGAACTTTTACAGCTATACCCTACTTAATTTAGCTACAATTACTTGAAGAAGTCATCTTACTACGTCTTGACATATGAATTTTACTCTATTATTCAATATTACTTGAAGAAGATACTCTCTTGAATTTATTCTAATTATCATATTACTTCAGCACGTTGTTGATTTACATATGATTTAAATCTATTTTAAATTATAACAAGTCTGTCATTATTGGTATAATTATTACTTTGAAAAAGAGTATATATAGGGTGTCTGTAAAGTTTATGTCTTTCAGAAAAATAATAATCTTACATATACTCTTTACTATTTCTCTATCCCCACCTTAATTGCAAAACCAATTACAATTTATTAAATATCAATATGACTCCTGCTGGACCAGTTTGTGCTTCATGTAAACAATTGGGTCACAGCAGGAGATCAAATTTATCCTGCCCTTTGAACCCAAGAAACAAGACTCTCTTGATCCCCCAAAAGAGAACCAGCAATAATCTCTCTACCCAAGAAGAATATCAGACAGAGAGTAGTAGAAGTAACATTAAAACGGATTACTTTAATCCATTGGATCGACTTGCATAGTTTCTAACTTATTTGCTATCATCTGCATTTATATGATTATTTAGCTGGTGCTTCGAGACCAAGGGTGGAAACTGTTCAGAATCCTGTAATTCTTACCATAGCAGAAATCATTGCTCTCTCCCGTGCTTACCAATATCCTGCAGAGAGTAGTCGAGGTAAATAAATGGAGCAAAATTAATTAATATTCAGCAAAAATTCTAATAATTGTTTCTATTCTATATATTTCTCTATTTAGCTGCTGCTTCAAGACCAAGAGTTGAAGCTGTCCAGGATTCTGTTGTACCGACACAACCAATGTCAATTGACCTCTCCTTTACAGAACAATATATTGCAGAGAGCAGCAGAGGTAATTTTTAAAATTATATATCAATTGCCACAATTATTAATTATTCTTTAATATTTTTATCATAGATCTAACTGCTGCTTTTGAGGCTTTGCAAGTTTCTGCTGTTGAGAGAGTCTTGGATTTGACAACCACCACTGCCATTAACACTGCCACTGTTATTCCCTGCTGTTCCAGCTGTAATGGAATTGGCCACATACAGAGTAACAGCTTGCAGTGTCCTAACAACAGATGGCACCACACTTTTGTCCCTGGCCAGTTAGCTGTCACTCATAACATGGCCCGGCATACCACCACCCCATTACCTCCAACTGATAACAGAGGTGCCATAGATGTACAATGCCAATTCTGTGGAGCTCTAATATGGATTCATGAGAAAAACTACACGTCCAAGGCAAACAACATCAAGTTCTCCATGTGCTGCAGACTCAGGACTGTCATTCTTTCTCCCTTTGAACCCACCCCTCCTGAAATCGCAGAACTTTTGGTACACAACACTCCTGCTGGAAAAGATTTCTTCGAAAAGATCAGGCAGTACAACAGCACTATGGGTTTCACTTCCATGGGAGTCAACATTGATCAGTCTGTTGCCAACAATATTGGTGGTGCATACAACCTCCAGATCCATAGGACCATCTGCCACAAGATTGGGTCAGTCCTTCCAACAACCCAGGCTCAGATGGATCAGCCCAAGTTTGCCCAGGTTTATATATTTGACCTAGCCTCTCAGGTCGACCATAGACATTGCAATGCCCCAGAATTAGACAGGGTAATCTTCGAAAAGATTCAGGCTGTTCTCATGGAGGTTAATCCATTTGTTTCCCTCTTCCATTCTATGCATCAAGTCGCACGGGATAATGGTGGAACAGCCGACATGACCTTTTGCCTGGCAGAGTCTGGCCCAGCAGACCAGCAACGGTACAATACTCCCACTGTTGAGGAAGTGGCAGTGTTGATGAGTGATACTGAGCATAATGAGGCAAGAGACATCATTCTGCACACCCAGACAGACTATCACCACAAGATCAATGAGTACCACCGCAACTATGATGCTTTGCAGTATGTTCTACTCTTCCCTTCTGGTGATTTTGGCTGGACCATCAATAGATATACTCCAACAGGGTCAAAGATCTCCACCATGGACTGGTACGCTAACCATCTCATGTACCATCCCAACTTTATGCACCTCCTCCACCGTTTTGGCCACCTCTTTCAACAGTATATTGTTGATATGTATGTCAAGATTGAACATAGCCGTCTTAGATATTATGTACTGAACCAAAAAAAGATGTGTGCAGAACTTTACAGTGGTATTCAGGATGCAGTCCACCTCAATGACAATGATATGACAAATCTTAGTTGGCAAGTAATTCTTCCTTCCTCCTCCCTTGGCAGCCCACAATGTATGCGTGAATTGTACCAAGATGCTATGGGCATTGTGCACCACTTTGGCAAGCCAGATCTCTTTGTGACCTTTACCTGCAATCCCACTTGGCCAGAAATCACAAATTTTCTGTTGGGTGGACAGAGTGCCAGTGATAGACCTGATCTTTGTTCCCATGTGTTCCACATGAAGCTTGAGCAACTCATGCACGACTTAACAAAGAAGCATATCTTGGGGAAGGCCGTAGCACATGTCCATGTCATTGAGTTCCAGAAGCGAGGTCTCCCTCGAGCCCATATTCTGTTGATCCTAGCTATGGCAGACAAGCCAGTTACAGTAGACGATTATGACAGAATCGTCTCTGCTGAGTATCTGGATCCTGATCTTGAGCCAGAAGTATTTGCAATCATCAGCCGCCATATGGTGCATGGACCATGTGGAGAGGAGGTCCGTCTTGCTAATGTCACTCTAGCACGTTGCATGAAGAATGGCCGCTTCCAGAAGCATTATCCAAAGAATGCCCAAGACGATACAATTGAAGATGGTGCTGGATACCCTTTGTATCGTTGGAGACAGAATGGAAGATCAGTCATATGGTACAATACCATCCTGGACAATCGATGCATAGTTCCTCACAACCGCTACCTATGTGTAAAGTACAATGCACATATCAACGTTGAGATCTGTACCTCTGTTGCCTCTGTAAAATATCTTTACAAGTATGTATACAAGGGTCATGACCATGCCATGACAGTCCTGCAGCCTGGATTCTCATCCACCCCCCAAGAACCTATCAATGAGATCCAAGAATTCCTTGATGCCTGTTATGTCTCTGCGTCTGAAGCTTGCTGGAGAATCTTTTCTTTTAGGATTCACAGTGAGTCCCCAGCTCACCAGAGACTTGCTATCCATCTTAAGAACGCCAAGACCATTTACTTCCGTGAATCTGACTCTCTTGAAGAAACATCTGGGTGGGGCTCCTCCACCACCTTAACTGGATGGTTTGCTCACAATACATTGGATATTTCGTTCCGCAAGTATCTTTATTTGGAATTTCCTTCGCATTTTACATGAAAAAAAATCAGGGAAAGTGGACTCCACGTGGCAAAAAGGAAAGCAAAACCCTTGGCAGAGTCCACACTGTTTCACCAAGAGACCCAGAACGGTATTATCTGAGAATCTTGCTGCTCAATGTCCCTGGTGCCACAAGTTTTGAGTATCTGCGTACTTTTGAAGGCCGCGTATATCCTACCAATCAAGATGCTTGCTGTGCTCTTGGGCTGTTGGTGGATAACAGCAAATGGAAGAAGCTGTAGGCTATGAGATCCCATCATCATTGCCTCACCTGTTTGCCATCCTCTTGGTCTTCTGTGAGGTGTCTGATCCCTTTGCTCTCTGGCTGGCCTACCGCTCTTCCATGGTCGAGGACTATCTCCATGCTTTCTGACAGGCAGAAAATGACTTCTCTCTTGAGCCAACTGAAGTCAAGTATGACAGATGTCTGTGGAGCATTGAAAGCCACATGTCAGCCAATGGTCTTTCTCTCGCTTCCTTTTCTGGGTTTGTTCTCACCCCACTGCCAGACTCCTCGGATGCCCAGATCCCTGCCAGTGGATTGAGAACATTGATTGATGAGCAAGAAGCCCTTTGTACCGAAGCTTTGTCTTTGCCTGATTTGGACACGCTCTCATTCAATGAGGAACAGCTAGCAGTATACCGTGTTGTCATGGAAGTAGTTGATGCAAGCCCTACAACCCCAAGATTATATTTTGTTGACGGACCAGGTGGCACTGGAAAGACTTTTTTTATTCAATGCCATGCTCAAAAAAGTCTGTCAACAAGGCAAGATTGCTCTCGTGGTAGCTACCAGTGGAATTGCAGCTCTGCTTTTGGATGGTAGCCAAACAGCTCATTCCAGGTTCAAGATTCCCATTAACATTGACGTCAACTCTATTTGTTCCATTCCTTCCAACTCTGAGCTTGCAAAGTTGATCAGGAAAACAGAGTTGATTGTTTGGGATGAGGTCTCCATGGTCAGCAAGTATCTTATCAATGCCGTCAATTGTTCTATTCAAGATGTTATGAAGTTGGTTGACCCCTTGCTCAATACTGTTCCTTTTGGTGGCAAGCTGTTCGTTTTTGGTAGTGACTTTTGCCAGGTGCTTCCTGTCATTCAAGGAGGAAACAGAGCCCAGATTTTTTCTTAGTGCATCAAGAAAGCATGTCTCTAGAGCCATGTTCACTCCATGAAACTCACAAGGAACATGTGTATTGCCGAGTCCACTGATTCCCGGGAAGTGGCACAACTTAATGAGTTTGCTGCCCTTCTTCTGACTGTTGGCAATGGCAGTCTTCAGACCACTGGTGGTCCAGGCACCTTTCAGATCCCCCCCTATATGCTTATCTGAGGCCGTAATATCAATCACCTGGCCAGTACAATCTTCCCTGATCTTTCTAATAATGCCAGCAATCCCAGCTTCCTTATGAGCCGTGCAATCTTAACCCCAAAGAATGCAGAAGTTAAGAAGATCAACAACATTATTATGAAACTGTTCCCTAGACAAGCAACAGAGTTCAAGAGTATTGACGAAGGTCTCAGTGAAGATGATCAATTGAGTTACCCAATTGAATTTCTCAACAAACTCGACCCTGGATCTTTGTCTCCACATACTCTATGTCTCAAAAACGGATGTCCAATTATGCTACTGAGAAACCTGGACCCCAAGAATGACCTCTGCAATGGTACCCGCCTTATATGCAATGACTTTGGCAGATATGTTATCAAGGCCACCATTGTAACAGGATCAAGTGCTGGAAAGGTGGTTCTTATATCCAGAATCAAGCTGAACCCAACTGGATTGACCATGTTTATTGATTTCAAGCGATGTCAATTTCCAGTCCACCTTGCCTTTGCCATGACTATCAACAAGTCCTAAGGCCAGACCTTTGACAAAGTTGGTCTGTACCTTCCCGACCATGTCTTTGGTCATGGGCAGTTGTATGTCGCTCTCTCCAGGGTTTAAACTCCAGACTTAGTAAAAATTATGGTTGATATGGACAGTATTTCTACTGAAACAACTAGCAATGTCTATATAAACAATGTTGTTTATAATGAAGTTGTTCCTAACAATTAACCAATCTGTTCCATATCATATGCTTTCTGCCTTATGTCTTTATCCAAATATGACAATTTTTTTCTATATGTTTTATTTTTATTTTTGTATTTTTTGTATTCACGTTATTTCTTCTCATACTTATGCTTATGCTTATGCTTATGCTTATCTTTATCTTTATGTTTTTTTTTACTTTTTTTTTCAAATATTTTAGTAATTTTTTTTTAAAGTTGTCAATACCAATTGTGTATATGACAAAGTATAACGTTTTCTTTCCTTTTTGAAAATATTAAAATACAAACCCCCCAAAAAATATGGCTTCCAGATATGTTCTTTACTATTATTTTATTACTATTATTATAATTCAAGTTAAATAATTGGATAACCAAGTTGTATCTGTATAATTTGTCTAATAATAATTATTAGCACAAAGTTCTGGCTACTTGATCAGATTGCTTTGTATCTCTCTGACTCGGTATTTTTTTATGAAAAAAGAATAATAGTAATATAAGTCATCTATATATTCTTTAAGGTTCCGAGACTACCCGCTTTTAAAGTTAGATTTTATAATACATCTTGCTTACACTCCAAAATAAAATATAAATAAATAATATCTCCCTGCTTTTTTTTGACAATTTTTTCTCTTTCATCATTTCTTACATTTTATACCAACATGAACTACACACTTCAAACTTCTTTCAAAACCTTGCAAAAAAATGTCTACATTTCATCTGGTATCTCTGGAGCTATGCTAATGGCTTTGGCCAGTAGCTACAAAGAGGTGGCAAAAATAAATAAATATCATTTATCAATCAACAAATAACACAATATATTAAAAACATATTTTGATTAATAAATCTTTCAAAAAAATCGTTAATGTCCCTAACCGGAGCATTAACGATGCAACTATTCAGTATCTTGGGTGCAGTGCCAGGAAGACGGCATAAATGTCATCGATGTGATCATCTTGATTACAGACCGTACTCCAGGCCCACCCCCAAAATTTTACCTTTTCAAGGATATCAAGCAACAGCTTGACACAAATATAATATTCACCAAACAACATAACTATCGTTGTACAAATTTTCCGTAACTTATCAAATATATTTGAATTAGACTCCACTACCAGAGATATTCTCTATAATCCTGGATTTGACGGATTATAGAGAGTATCTCCGCAAGGAATTTGTGGAGTCTTTTGTGTCTCGGTGGGAGAATGTTGGAAAACTTCCCACAAGGGTTATGTAAGTACAGAAAGTACGCTCCATATACTGTGCTAATCTAAACCAATATCTATATAATATATATATATATGTAATCTAGCTCCCCTGACCAAGACCCCATCATTGGGTTCTTGGAGGCTGTTGCACTCGGCCCCGAGCAACTCAAACTCAATGAAGTTATGAAGAGGTATGTTTTTTTACTATAATACACAATCGATAATTAACTATACAATTTCTTTTAAAATAATAATAATATGAAATAACAGAAAGTAACAATAAGCACCCTTCATAACTCCAAAGGTAATTTATTTGTTTATTTTTTACAAGGAACTTCTTAATTTATTTATTTTTTTTTATTTCTCTCTTTTTTTTTAGGGCTTGAGTGGCCTTGTACCTTTGTCTGTGCTTGTGAGCAGGGGTCGTCCCACATTTAAGAGTCGACTCATATATGTGGCAATGATCCAGGCCAAGCATAAGCATGATCTTAAAGCATGGGTGTGACCAAAATCTCAATTTATTAATTTCTTTCTCTTTTTCCTTTCTTTCTCTTTAGGTCTGAATTGGCTTTATGTTTTTATTGGGTGGAGTCTGGCGAGAACAGCATCCTCCACATCAAAGTGAATTTTAAGACAGATGCCTTATAAATTATAAATACAAAAAATAAAAATAAAATATATTTGATTTTACAAAATTCAACCTTTAAGCCATTATGTAGATGAGATCTCAAAAAAATATTTTAAATTGAAAAGACTTTAAAATCATACAAGAAACTTTGGCAGCAAAGATTATAATATATGTTACAAGATGACTATTCAATATATAAAATAAAGAAAAAAATAAACAACAGGTGCAATTATTACTCTATTACTTCAAAGGTTTCCAACTTTTGTATGGGCTACATTTGTTTCTGTTTTAGTATTAAATCTTTATAATACCAAAATATCTAAATAAACTCAGACAAGCAATTTTTTCTTTCTTTTCATAGTATGGTTATTGCTTCCTGAACTGTTCCAATAGGGACAACTGGTCTATCTCGTTTAATTATATAACTCTGGTTGTTTTATCCTCCTTTTTTTATTGGAAATTATAATACCAATATTAGTAAGAATATGTAATAAAGGCTAAGAGCATCTGTAGCAGTATCTAAACCCAAATACTAAATATACAAATTAGGAAACTGGTGTTTAGATTTTCCAAAAAAAACGTCTCCAGCAGTTTCTAAACAAAAATTTAAATATCTAAATCTGGAATTTAGATCTAAACTTTTTGAATCAAAATCTAAACTTCTGTAAGTTTTCTCAGAATTTGTTTAGATTCTATCACTTACTAAATTTCCATTTTTTATTTTGTGACTTTGAATTGTCAATTTTAAATCTCAGCCTTTAGGAAAAACCTCACCAAAATCATCAGCTCTTTAGAATCTGTGTTAAGAAACTGCTGGAGTGACCTTGATATTCTTCATACTAAATTACTTTATTTGTACTAGCGCGGGAAATCCTAATTTGGATATTTAGTATTTGGGTTTAGATACTGCTGGAGATGCTCTAAGAAAATAGTAAATGCCAGGTATTAAATATACACTAGGGGAGTAGTGCCCCCCCCCCCACCCCCCCAAAGGGGGGGGGGGGGGGCAGAGCCTACTGGAAGTTAATATAATACTCTTCCCAGATCTATGGTAAAATAGACCGACGTGCCCTTTTTTTTGCACAAAAGGTAAAACAGATCGATGTGCCTTAAGTATTTTTTATATATTTCTTGATTTATAAATACATTACTAAGTAGAAATATTTGAAAAAATTCGTGATTATAGATATACTATATGATTACAATGTGACAACTTTGTGTGGCTGCTGAATTAAAATTGAGTGAATTAAAATTTATTTTGTTATTAATTTTAATAATAATATATTGTATTTTAGTTATATTTTATATAATAAATTAAAATTTTACTGACTCAGAAAAATTAAAATAAATCACAATAACAGATATTATATAAAGGTATAATCATGGCTCTTCGCGCTAATTCTCCAAACAGGACTACTGGTTTTATCCATTCAATTGGCGCCCATTTCCATCTAATTAGCATCCGTTTCCATCTAATTAGAACCCATTGACATCTGATTGGCTTCCATAGAAATTGAATTTGCGTCCATTGCCATCTGAATTTGCTCCCATTGCCATCTGAATTTGCTCCCCCTCTTTTACTATTGGCGGAAGGGTACATGGCACTCAATTTTTTTATCCTTGCGCCTTACAATTTTTTTTATATAACCGTAGTATTTTTTTTTGTAAACGTCGTACTTTTTTTTGTAAACGTCGTACTTTTTTTTTGTAAACGTCGTATTTTTTTTTGTAAATGTCGAATTTTTTTTATATAACCGTAGTATTTTTCTTTGTAAACGTTGTATTTTTTTTATATAACCGTAGTATTTTTTTTTGTAAACGTCGTATTTTTTTTATATAACTGCCATATTTTTTTATATAAGTGCCAAACGCCTAATGTAATAGCACTTCAATATATGTAGATCTTTCTACAAAGATACGTCATAGAAAATATCTATAGAGAGAACTAACAGAATATGCAAACTTTTCTCCAGATTACTTTGTTAAAGTTAAATACCTTACTGCAGTTATAAGATAATAAAGCAAGTATCTCATTATAATAATTATGTTAAAATTGAAAATGCAATGATATTATTTGTATGCTTTCTTTATTGCAGAGTAAGTTTCGAATAAAAGATTCATTTTTTCGTCACTTGTAGCCTCCTTGTT